TTTCTTTTATTACTTGTTTGCCCATTTGGTCCTCACTGAGATAGGTTCATACATATCCCAGATTAGAGAGAGAAAAGTGTAAAGCTAGCTGAGTTGTGTTTTCATGCCACAGTATCCTGGTTTCCATGGAAATACCTACTTGGTGTTACATATTCCTGGTTCTCAAAAGTTGGTTAAATACACAGACAAGCTTTGCTAAATAGGTGTTATAATGATTTCAAAGCCCACACTTTTAGCCTCCTAAAGTGGTAGCTGTGAACATTGCATTTAAATGTGATCACTTTTTTTAAATGAATCTTCCAATGTCTTTATTTGGTTGGCAAAACAACTTTTTACCCGTATTTTGATATTACTAGAAGTTTTAAGGCAATGTAAGTATCTGTTATGAGTCATGTTTCTGCCCACCATTGTTTAACTTTTCTGAAAGTTATGTTTCACCTTAAGGGGAAATATTGAGAACATGTGTTGTTTAATGTTCCTCTCAATGTCCACTAGCTTACTTTGAGAGTCAGCTCTATGATGCTGTGCAGGTGCTGTACCAAAGGTTGAAGAGGTTTGTTAACTAAAAAAGTCCCATGTCAAATGTGGTTGGTAAATGTGGTGAGGGTGAACCAAAAGTAATTCTGAAGGCCTAAAAACCTAAAACAAAGGGCAGAAACACACAACAATGCTCTGTAGACCTAAGATAAACATTGTGAGTGTTAGTGTTTTACTTTCACATTACAAGTGGTGATGAAAAAAAGGGTCACAGCAGAGAATGAGTTCTTCAGGTTATAAGGGGACTAAAAGACAGTAATTGAAAAATTAGTTATTTGAGAAGATATTCTGGCTCACGGTCATGAAGATAATCTGCCATCTAAAGTTTAAAGCATTTTCAAGATCACTGATTTTAACATGATTTTATAGTTGTGGTAATGTGGTAATAAAGGTGTGCCATGTTGACATTTGGAGTGAATGAAGGCATATAATTTCACAACATGAATTTAATGTGCATCGAAGATTGAATCACGGCTAAACTTGTTGCTCATTCAAAACACCAATTTGTATTGTCAGAGACGTGAAAAAGCTCAGTATAAATGACTCACTCGCCGTGATTATGATCTTGGTGGATATTCTAATCAGCGCTCTGACATGATATTAAAAGCTGTTTCAAATGAATGGGTCTGGAGCAACCTGCGTTGACCTAATAATAGCACAGCCACGAGCAAAACTGTACCTTACTTACCGCCACATTGGGCAACCGGCTTCCGAGCCGTTTCTTTTTTCTTCCAAGTTTACCATTTGCCTTAAAACGGGGCAGCTGTGGCTCAGTGGTAGTCGGTCTTCTCTCAACCAGACGGAAAGAAGGTTGGGGTTTTGAATCCCTGAACTGGATCAGTGCTGATAGGCAGTCACTTCACGCAGCAGCCTCTGCCATCAGTGTGTGAATGGTTTGAATGGGACATGTAGTGTAAAAGTGATTTGACTAGTCAGAAGAGAAAAGCGCTATACATTCTAAGTATATTTACCAATTCCAAAAACATGTACAGGGGCTCTTCCTGTTTCATCTCCATCAATCTTCCTCTTTTTTCCTTCTTGTCGTTTTATTCTCTTCACTCTTTCCCACACTTGCTCTCATGTGACCCACCAAGTTCTTTTTCTCAACGCTCTCTATCTCTCTGTCTCCAGAACATACATACATGCTTCTTCTTTCCCTTCGTCTCCTCACCACACTCTGTTTCCTTTTTTTTCCCTCAGTCCCAGCACATCTTCATACAATTACTTTCCATTAAAAATTGATTAGATTTCACCTTCACAGTGTGTCTACAGAGGGAGAACAAGAAGGGAGGGAGGGAAGGAGAATACAGAGTAAAGGGGTGCAATGAGAATTCAGTGGAGAACGACTAGAAGAGAAAGGAAAGGAAATGGTAGATGAGAAGGATGAGGGGGAAAAAAGAAAAAGAAAAACAGGAAAGAAAAAAAAGGAAAGGATGGACCTCTAAAAAAGGCAAAGACCAATCTAGAGTAAGGACCACATCAATACTGAAGCTGCAGCTACTTTGAAGTAAAGAACAACACATTTCTAAAGGTTTGTTGGTCTCCTTGTAGAGGCACAGATTTGTTCTCAAAACTAAGTCAGGACAAATAGTTCAACAACGCTTAAATTTTCACACTTATTTTTCCTCACAAATGGTTTGAAAATTGTGTGAATGTGGTTGTCACACCTTTGGCCAGTCGCTGAGAAATGGCTGCAATTCTCAATAACAAATTGACCGCTCAGTATTGCTCAATGGACAGGCTCATAACATGTCAACACTAGCTGTAAATAGGGCAAAAAGGAACGTTAAAGAAACCTCAAAGAAAGACATTGACGCAAGTCATGTCCTCATTGTTGAATTGAAAAAATAATATGGAAAACCAATCATCTTATTCTGACTATACACAAATAGCATACCATCATCTGCATATATAGCAAGCAGAAGTCCAGAGAAAAATTCCAGTCGTGGCTTTCTGACTAAACACGATTAACACACCATCATCTGCATATATAGTGAGTCTTACTGTACTGTTCTTAATCTTAACTAAAGTTTGCCCCAAATACAGAAAGTTTTCTTGATTACTTTGAGTTTTGTAAGATTTATTTGACATATTTTATCAAATAGTAACTTGGTAAGTTTGTTATTTATTAGGCTTTCAATAAAGCACTTTGTGAAAACAGATCCCTTTTTATAAAAGCATCTATAGTATGGAATCAGGTCCAAGTCATATTTGATAGACTCATGACCACTTTGATCATACTAGAGTGTGTGTCTTGCATCTTGACACATGAAGCAAATGTCAGTCCTTGTCTATTGTTGTGAAGGCCAGTGCCAACGGGAGCAGATGGTCCTGGTGTGTCCCAAAGAGGTGAGGAGGCCTGGGGTTGGAAGAGCTCCAGTCGGCCCCCCTTAACCCTCGTGTTTTCCCACCTTGGGGTTAAGAAGGGTTAAATGTAATCTGCTCCTGCTGTTAGTGTGAGTGCGTATGTGTGTCTTGGAGAATGGATCATCCCCCTTTCCTTCTGTACAGTTAAGTCTAGACTGCTCCCGTCCTTTTCTTCCCTCAAAGTGCACTGAATAACCAGTATACACTGAATGACCAGTATACACTGAATGACCGGTATACACTGAATGACCAGTGTACACTGAATGACCGGTATACACTGAATTACCAGTGTACACGGAATTACCAGTATACACTGAATTACCAGTATACACGGAATTACCAGTATACACTGAATTACCAGTATACACGGAATTACCAGTATACACTGAATTACCAGTATACACTGAATTACCAGTATACACTGAATTACCGGTATATTTTGTAGACCATATAAGGGCCAGTGTGAGACCACTTTTCTCTTTGTGGTGGAACATGAGTCAGTGTTTTGTTTATTTTTTTATTTCTGTGTACCAGGGGGGCGGCGTTCATCAAATAGTCATTGTTTTAAATCACCCACTTTTTAAAAATTAACTCAGGCAACAGTGATGCCTTCATAAGTATCCTACCAAGCTTACATTTCTAACATAAGGAATCATAAATAATGGGATTTCCCATTTTAACCATTATAGTATGGCATAAAGGATAACAATGACTGTGATGGTCATTTTGGCGCCTTATTCCATACGAAGTGCAATAGAATTCATGCAGACATTCATTGTCCCAAGAGGGTTAATCCCTTTGGCTTTAGTGAACTTTTATTTAATGTGTTCAAAGCACTCAGGACAAATTGTAATTACTGTGGTGATCCTTAAACCTTTGATATTCCACCATCATTATAGGTCATAATTTAAATTTTAAATGACATTTTCCTTTCGGTCATGTCCAGAGCATACTCTTACTTTTAAATAACATTCATGGGAATTACCACTTCCAGGTTTGAAATTCCCATGTCCTAGTTTGGGAATGTTACTCCCTGATTTGGTAAAACTGATTTGCAGGTTGTTAATATACACCTCTGAGTTTTTTGTAATTTACCTTCCAGTATTTTCGGGTTTCCACGACCCTGTTTTCCCAAATCACATAGTAAGTGGAAATTTCAAACCCAGAAATGAAAATTCCAGACCCAGAACTGTATCTTCAAAACCCATGGAGTAAGTTTTCCAAACCATCAAAAACACCTTGAAAGGAGAATATTTTCTGAGATATTTCAAGTCTTTGTAATCATCTATTTCAATATATGCCAGCATTATATTGCTCATACTTAAACTCACACCCGTCTTATACAGGCTATACGTTTATAAATCCAGGATATTTCACAGCTATATTAAGCGATTGAGTCATCAATCATCTGGTTACTCATGGAAACAAAACAAGCATTCCCATTCGGCTGCTGTCAAAGCCTGTAAATCTCTTATTTGCTTTTTCTCCTTTTTTCCCCTTTTTCTTATAGTTTGCGAAATTAGCTGTTAAGTTTTACACACCCAGGCCCGATCAATCAATTTAAAACTCACTGCATGTGTTCAGTAATCCATGGGCATCAGCTACTTACTCTACATCTGTGAAAGTGATGTTTTTGGAGATACAATGTTTTAATCTGACTGCAGGCAGCAGGTTGTTTCATTGTGACGAACAGGTCTGGAGAACGATTCTGACAGGTAATAGGACTGAGATACAACACAGGCCTCTGGAGGAAGGTGTGTGTGTACGTCTGTGTGTGTGTGTGTGTGTGTGTGTGTGTGTGTGTGTGTGGATGGATTCAAGCCTCTGTGTGAGTGGGTGTGTACAAAAGTGTTTGTGGAGTAATAGTCTGCTCTCTTTCCCTCATTACATTTGAAAGAAGAACCGGCCATCTCTGTATACTCCAACCCTCCCACTTTGTCAAACGTTTCACTATTAGACACAAAGCGCCTTTCAGGAAGCCCATCTCACTCATCTGGCCCAGCAGCATCACCTTTTTTTGTCCTTTAACCCCAGTGTCTCACACACCTCTGCTTTCTGTCTCTTTCTGTCTTCCTACCTACCTCTCAATCATACAGACGCCCCGGTGGCAGAGTTACATGACCTGTTCTGTAAGAAGCTGCAGCAGTGCTGCGTGCTGTTTGATTTCCTGGACTGCGTGGCCGACCTGAAGGGGAAGGAGATCAAACGTGCGGCACTCAACGAGCTGGTGGAGAGTGTGGCCACAAGCAGAGGAGTCCTCATAGAGCCTTTGTATCCAGAGGCTATAAAGATGGTATGTGGGGAAGAAGATATGGGGGGAGGTTGAAGGTATGGATGATGTGATGGACATATGAGTATTTAAATCACAAGTAAGCATAATAAATTCAACCAGACAATGAAAAACAATGATCATATTGGATGAGAACAGGACATATAGAAAGCCAGGTGAATATTTACATAGAACAGCTGGAAAATAAGCTAAGAAAGAGGGATGGGTGAAGGAAGGAAAGAAAGATAGACAGAAGGTAATATGCAGGCTTCAAAGAGTATGAAGAAATGAAGTGAGAGAGAAAAAGAGAAGGTGAATGAGTAGTGGAAAAAAAGGAAAGGAGAGCTAAAGTGTTAGCAAAGGGCGCTTAGTCGCAATAGGCTGCACAGATGGCGAGTAAGAGAGGGGTGGAGAAGGAAGATAAAGCGTGAGTGAGTGTGGTGGACAGCACGACAGAGCTGCAGAGGTCCCAGAGGATATGAGGAAGGAGGAAACGAAAAAAGGGGATTGAGGACGGCAATTAAAGTAAGCGGAGAATATGGCTGGTGTTATGAAGTCACTATACACAGAGGATGTGAAAATGCTGATAGCACACAGGATAGGGTTAAATGGCTGAAGCTTTTAAGTGTGTTTAAAGAGACGTCGGTTAGATTCAAAGTCCCAGCTGAAAATAAATTAAATGTAAGGCAAAGACAAAACATGTGCAGAGCCAAAATATTCAGAACACCAACTGAAACATTGAAATGTTGCTGTCAATTTGACAAATATCATGAATACATCCTTCCTATATCATTTAGCATAATATATTGCATATACTCAATCCAAAAGTTGCTGCAGCATACAACCCAATAAAGTCAAATGTCTAAAGTAAAGGAACAATGGGACTTGAATGAACGAGTCATTAAGTTGAATAAATAAGATGTGGAGGATGAATGGAGCAGGAAAGAGGAAGGAAACCATCAGTTAAAGAGAGAGAAGATGCTATGGTATGTTTTTCAACCATTTGGGAGTTTAACGTCGGGAAAGCTGTATTTTTATTTTTACAATGACTATACAAAATGATTGGGTTGTTATGTAGCCATGTAAAATTACCCATATCCTCCTGCAGGGAAAAGTTTTACTAATGCAAACAGATGAGAGAGAAAAACCTGAGAAGAAAATCATGCTCAACGGAGGCGTCGGGACTCAGCACATTTGCTTTTTGCAATAGGGTTTATGCACTAAATGGCCAGTGGAAATGCATTTGTTGAATAAATCATGACATAGCGAGCAGTCATGTTGCATGGCTTATTAGTTCTCCTCCATTGCCAGTCTGCAAACAGCATCAAATATGGCCGACCATAGCTGAAGAGAAGAAGAGGTTAAACCTTTTTTTTTTTTTTTTACATTTAATTGTAGTGCTTTTATCTAATATTTTTGCGCAGTACCTCCTACTACCTTACACCCGTTATAGCTGATAGAAACCAATCTAAGTCTGCTTTAAATCAAAGACTCTTGAAGACTTGAAAGTTGGATTGAAAAATTGATCTTGGATTTATACTGAGGGACGATTTGGTGTAGCAACAAAATCTAAAAAATAAGGATTTTTTATGACAATACTCCCACTGGACAGTAAAAAATGTTCAAACAATTAATCATAAAGCATGTTTTTTGAAAGTACATCTACTCAGTGGTTTTTCAACAGGTTGTTTTGAACAACATTGAACAGGATGTGCTGTTTAATATTTTTTTCTTTGTAAATGTCTCTTTTTCTTATTTGTATTTCTTATTCCCCCCTTGTCCCACATCTGGATTCACACCCCTCATTAACCTTCATCAATTTTCATCTTTTCCCACTTCTGATTGTTTTTCCTCGCTCTCCTCCTGGTCTTTCAGATCTCTGTAAATATCTTCCGGACTCTCCCACCCAGCGAGAATCCAGAATTTGACCCAGAGGAAGATGAGCCCACACTTGAAGCCTCCTGGCCACATCTGCAGGTACCACATACAAAAAAAAAAAAAAAATCTTATTGTGTTGGATTTATGGCTGTATGGTTCATGCATTTTCTGCAGAGGTAATGGAGGGAAAAATGTGTTCTCTTTAAAAAAAAAATCTTCGGGACTTTGAAGTTGTTCTGTACTTGTTTTGTTATTAAGGTGAAACTCAGCGCAGTGTCAGTAACAACTATGACAAATGGGCCCTTGGATATGTTGTACATCATACTTTGGGAGAGCAGAATAAGCCATAATGCACACAACTCCCACCTGGTGTTGCTGTTAATGCAGCGTTCAGCATTATCTCCTCGCAGACATACTGTACCTGACTCACAGGTCGCTTTACATCAGTTAAATCTGCTGTTTAGAGCAAAAAGGAACCTGTTTTATCTTCCTGAATAACAAACAGAGATCTAGCCAAGCAGATCAACTCTTATTATATGACCTGAGATGTTTGTCTCAGTGACATTTGGGGGGTTGTTTACAGTCATTAACCTTGAGTAAAAAACACATTATTGCTAGGTCCCCGTCCTTGGAATGAAAATCTTTCTCGCTTATTTGAAGCCTATTTTGAAATCATCATCATTGTTAGTCTGTCTTTGCACAGACAGAGAGTAGTGTGATATTCTCATCCAATTTACTGCACCACAATGAATAATTTGCAAAGTGTCAAACTATTCATTTTAGAAACTAACACACACACACACACACACACGCACACGCACACACACACACACACACACTTAATAATGTCTTTCGCTGGTTGTGTCCCTGTTAGCTGGTGTACGAGTTCTTTCTGCGTTTCCTGGAGAGCCCAGACTTCCAGCCCTCCATGGCCAAACGCTACGTGGACCAGAAGTTTGTCCTGCAGGTAATCTTCCCCTTTCTCAAAGAGTCAGTGAGTCATATCTAAAGCTCCGAGGGGCTTCTAAAATCCTGATCAATAGAAAAGTATTACAAATGAAGCCTGGCTGCATGCTGTCAAGCTCCCTACTCTGTTGTCAATTAAAAACCTATATGCAGTTATTTTTTGTACAAGTTAGAACATTATGAGAAGAACATTTAGTCTAATTAATCCCATGAAATATATTCTCTGCTGTAAGAGTAGACTCAGATACTCAAGACGTATAAAAGTAGTCTCTATCTGTTTGTAGGACCATGTGTTTATTGAGGGGTTACTGTAGGTCTATGGTTAAAAAAAACAACATTTCTTTACAATTTCATGTTAAAACTTGGATACAGAAGTGTGAATGTTTGAGAATACAATCAGAAAAGGTTCCCACAATCCCCATATTACAAAAAAAAAAAAAAAAACCCTGTATTTGAGTCTGTGATTCTCATGTGCGCGTAGCTCCTGGAGCTGTTCGACAGCGAGGACCCCAGGGAGCGGGAGTACCTAAAGACCATCCTGCACCGCGTCTATGGAAAACTACTGGGCCTCCGAGCCTACATCCGCAAACAGATTAACAACATCTTCCTCAGGTAGAGTCCGCCTCCCACCTTCCTCCAATACCCAGGGTTTCAAGGTGCTATTTATAGCGTTTCAAAAAAGTCAATAAATCAAGCATTAGCAAGCAAAGAGCATCAGAAGGGAGAACTGCTGGGTTTACGCTCTCTGTAATGCATTTTGTTTTAGTTGGTGCATCGCTTGGACAAGTAAATCACGATATTACAGCACAGGAAGGAACAATTTGTGGTCGCCCTCGTAAGATTCTGGTCTTTAATTTTGATACATCACGTTGAAAGTTAGGCCAAATTAACTGCTCTTTAGCTGCTTCAATAGTGTCTTGTTTTTTTTAATTAACTGCCATTGGTGATGGCCTTGCAAAAAATGTTTCACATATTTGTTGATTATATTATAGATTGATAGATTTGCTGACTCTGAAGTCCAACTGGGAGGCAGACATTAACACTTAGAGCGGCTTTAAAATGCTTTCTGTACCACCTATAAAAGGCAATAACACAAAGGAGACCAGGAGACATGAAGCAACATCTTTGTTTTGAGAAGGAGTGTGGACATGTAAAGGAATATGTTTTAATAGTTGAGAGTCACAAACTCTTTTTGTTTTTTTTGTCATATTCTCAGATAAAGTCGGATCCTGCCACTCACGCAAGCAGGCACACACACACACACACACACACACACACACACACACACACACACACACACACACACACACACACAAGGCATGTACAAACATGACTGTGCTAATTCACTGAATCAGCCGTCCTGCATCCATCCTTAGAGCTAACTGGTTGTGCAGTGACACACATCTCTTCAAAGTGATTTGTTTAACACCTCTGACAAACAGGACTGCAGTGATTTACATCACCGGGTTTCATCTTTTTTTTTGACGAGTTGTGTTTGAAATGTTTTGTTTGCATTGTAATACAAAGCCAGGAGAGCTGCAGTGCTTCAAATAGTCCTATTATCTATGTGTGGAGTAAACTGATTTTAGTGTCAAGATACAGTAAAATTGGTATATCTGTAGTAGTCCTTCATTTCTATTTCTAATGACACAATAACAAAGGTAACATGGTTGTATATCAGACATGATACATCGTTATATTGATCTATCATCTTTTCCTGCCGGGGTATTTGATGCACAAGTGATTTTACATGAAGGATTAGGAGTATTTTTTAAATTTCTAGAATTGCAGTGATTTTTAACTTTTGAGAAACTACAAACACTAGTTACCTGATCAACTGATGAATCATTTCTCCCTCTCTCTCTCTCTCTCTCTGTTTATCGGACGTTCAGGTTCATATATGAAACTGAGCACTTCAATGGAGTTGCGGAGCTTCTGGAAATCCTCGGCAGGTATGTGTCCGCCATCATGCACACACACTTGAAAGGATGAAGGCACACTTCTTAGGATGTAGGAACACGGCCTGCAGTTACAGTTGAGTGTGAACAGAAGAACACATTTACTCGTGCTGTGGTTGCCCAGCTGCTCACATGAATGAGACAGCTGGCAACCCAGTGACTTCAGCAACTACAGAAAAACAGTGAGAAAGCATAAGCACCACTGCAGCTGCTCAACACAACAAAACAAGATGCATTTATTTTTTCCTTTGTTGTTTTTGATCTCTCTTTTCTAATGGGTATAAACACAACAGTAATATCAAGCCGGATGGTTTTACACATTAGATAAATTACAAGTTAAGTAAAGATGGAAAGTAAGAAGAGGGAAGGTAAATACATAAATAAAAGATGACTATGAGGTTTTTGTAATCTATTGCTAGAAGCCAGTTGGACGATAAAAAGGAAGAAGGAGTTAAAGTGCTTGCAAGAAAGGGAGCTAAAATGATATGCATAGGATGGCAGGAAAAAAAAAAAAGTTAAATAAAATGTCAGTTAAAGTCACTGCTTGTTGAAATTTCTGAGTTTGTTTCCAGACTTTCTCGGTAGTATTAAGATTTAGAATGTTTTAGTAAAAATAATGCTGATGTTTCTTTAATTTTCCCCTCCATAAAGCATGCTGAGGTTCAAAACATGAAACAGTTTTTAATAAACCAAACCATCATTTCACCTGGTCAAAAAGTGAAATAAAAAAATGGACAGTGACTTTTATAACTCTGGTGTCAATGATGAACAGAAAGAGACGTAGGAAGGAAAGGGAAGAAGCCAAGGTGAGAAAAGAGAGATGAAAGGAGGGATGAGAGATGGAGATAAACAAGGAGATGTGGAGAGGATGAGTGAGGGAACAGTGTGAGTCAGAAGTGGAGGAAGGAGGAGGGAGAGCAGGAGAGGAGAGAGAGAGGTTTGTATTCATGTTGGTGGTAACAGAGGTATTTTTAGCTCCTCCCACACAAGGAGACAGGGAGAGAGAGATGGGCGAGGGAGGATGCATTGTACACTGAGAGAGAGAGAGAAGGAGAGAGCAAGAAGATAGAGGTATTCAGAAAAGGGAGGAGAGGGAGAGGCAGGAAGAAAGATGAAGATTCTTCTGAAGGAATGTTCTCGTTTTGAAAAAGCTGACGGACAGGTAGACTGACTGATGTAGACGCATCCAGATAAATAGTCCATGAGAACCAACAAACAGGTCAGAGTGCTGCTAAATAAATGTTTCAAAGTAAAGTTCCCACGCTTCAGCTGCTCTTCCCTCTGTAGGCTCTGTGTCAGTCAGTGTAGTAGAGAACAGAGCAGAACATTTGTCCAGTCACTAACACAGATGTGAATGGTAGATTTGATCAAGAATACCCAGGTGCAAACTGATTCTTGCTTGTAATGACAGAGTCAACATTTATTTAAAATAAAGATTATGTCTGAGCAGAAATAAGCTCAGGCAATACTCTAAACCCAACCTTAAAATGTTCTCAAAAAGATAGAAGTGTTTTGTAGTTCTTTTGAGTTTAAGGTTCTGTTTCATCACGACCAATTGTTCACACTTTGTTGGTTATATAGTCAAAGAAACACAAGCATGAAATGCAGACGTATGTTCATTGAAATCCAAGGTTTAGAGAGAGAGAGATAAAAATGTACTTTGCAGAGCGAGTCATCATTTAATCTTCTAAAAGGCACCACGTCAACGCATCAACAAATAAGTGGTAAAGACCATGACTCATAAGGACCTACAGCAGCATTTCTTTATTTGAAGTGTGTGGAATATCTGCAGTGGTGTCTTAGAAATCTGCAACAAATGAGCTTATTGACAATATTCTGTTTTTTATGTTCCTTCAACGAAAAATCGAGCAAAAGATTTGAAATGCTCCTCTGATGGATTTGAAACAGTGCAGATGTGCTTCTTGTCACCGTTTGACATGAAATGACATGTCATGGAATTGTAAGACTGACAATGTTTAAAGAGGAAATTATTTTTGGGTTATCTTATGTTATTGAAAAGCAAGACCACTTGACAAAAAACGAGTCACATGCCACAGAGTGGAATTACTTACCAAATGTAATATTCCTCCTCTCCTCTCCTCTCCTCTCCTCTCCCCTCCTCTACTCTCTTCTCCTCTCCTCTACTCTCTTCTCCTCTCCTCTCCTCTCCTCTCCTCTCCTCTCCTCTACTCTCCTCTACTCTCCTCTACTCTCCTCTCCTCTCCTCTCCTCTCCTCTCCTCTCCTCTCCCCTCCTCTACTCTCTTCTCCTCTACTCTCTTCTCCTCTCCTCTCCTCTCCCTCCTCTCCTCTCCTCTCCTCTCCTCTCCTCTCCCCTCCCCTCCTCTCCTCTCCTCTCCTCTCTTCCAGCATCATAAATGGCTTCGCCCTGCCCCTGAAGGCTGAACACAAGCAGTTCCTGGTTCGGGTTCTCATCCCATTACACACGGCGAAGTCCCTTTCCATCTTCCACGCACAGGTCAGTGACATTTTACCGCTTGCATACATATTCAAATGTCATTGTTTTTACCGGTATGTAAAAGTAGTGGACAAATCTGGGACTCAAACAACAGAAATTTTACGGGGCAAAAGGTGCAATTAAAAAAAAAAAAAAAAAAGTATTTACATCACATGACGTCTGTCCAACACAGCAAACCTAGCAGGCATAAAAAAAAACAAAAAAAACAAGCAATCACACAGAGTCAAAAAACATGAAAATAGTTGGAATGTGATGAACTCACAACAAAGGAAAACTGTCAGGAAAGACAAAGGGAGTATATGACCAGCGTTACACAATTACATAATCAGGAGTGTAATGAGTAGAGGTGTGATGATGATGACAGAATCAAGAGAATAATGCATACTAATTTTTTGAGCCACATTTCTCAGCAATATTTTTCCAGGCTTTTGAACAACAAGCAACAATCAATTTCTATTGTGTTTTTTCTTCTTCTGTATGCCAGGGATGTACAAAACACTATGAAACTATATTTAGATCTCGGTTCAGTTATGAAACCCCAAATGCTTTGTGGTTTCTTGCAGTTCTTCTCCTGACTCAGACAAGCTTTGCTGAAGGTTTTAGAGACTGTACTCCTTTTAATTAACATAATAATGACTCTGGTCCTTTGAGCTTGACGAAACAGTCAGCAGTGTCTATAAACTTTAAGCCCATTTAAGGATTCCTTTAATGTGCAGTACACTTCTACTGTAAATGATGATCTATCAGATGGAAGGTGTAGTAAGGGTTTCCTGCCACCAGGAGGCACAGTTGAGTCACAGATTATGCTGCAGAGGGAGGGACTCACCTTTAATTTACAGTGTGTGTGGTTTAGTTGAGCTCTCTCTCTGTGTGTGTGTGTGTGTGTGTGTGTGTGTGTGTGTGTGTGTGTGTGTGTGTGTGTGTGTGTGTGTGTGTGTGTGTGTGTGTGTGTGTGTGTGATGATTTGTACACAAATAGGATCCACTCTACTGTGTGCATTTGTGTGTGATTTTTTTCCCACACATTGTTTGATTATGCACAATGCAAGTAAAGCTAGTTCTATACATTTTACTCAGGTATGTGTGTATATTTGTGTGTGTGTGTGTGTGTGTGTGTGTGTGTGTGTGTGCGTGTGTGTGTGTCTTTGCCTCAGCATCATGGTGCCCTACATTTCTACTCACCGTCTCCCTCCCTGTGGTTCACACACATACATTATTTAAACACTAAAAAACACACACACACACACACACACACACACACACACACACTCGGTTTGACAGGGTCGCGGGGGACACGCTGCCGGTGGACAGCAGTTTCCGCACTCGTTGGGCGTGTCCGCGCAGGAGTGACCCACTTCTGGATCTAAATATTAAAACGCCAAACACCAAAAGCAGCGTCGTTTCACTCATCTTAAAGGTTTCTTATACCATGAGATAGAGATGAATCACACACCCTGTAGCTTGTGGAGGGGTTTTTCTCATTCATGTTTACGTCACCGAAAACAGCTGTTAGAGCTATAGCCACCATAATGGTTAGACAGTATGGTTTCCAACAGCAGAAAGCAAATGCAGTGCTTTTACATTGTAAGCTCATTGCAGTTATTTATGCTCTTCATTAGTATTCTCAGGGATACAAACATGTCTGCCCATACTGGCAATACCGAATAACTTCAGAATAGTAGGTAACCAGCTGGGGGTCTGACTTTGCTTTCAATTGCTTAGTCCCACCTGAGATTTGAGCCCCATGTACATTACTCTCCGACGTCAGAGGTGTGCTATTTTACATTTTGAAAGTCTGGTCAGCGGAGCCATGAAAGGCAGCTAACGCTAGCTTGACCCCGCTTGCTTGTAGAAGATAAAACACAAACAGACCCTTGAGTGTGCAGGTGTCGCAAAAATGATTCTGCAGGTATATTTTAGAGATGAGATATCATAAACAGTATAAACACCTAGAAGGAATCAGTCTTAGTCAAACTCAGCAAGCTAAGCTGACTAGCTTCAACTTTTAAGCACCAAAATGTTGACTCAAAGACAAAGGCAAATGTTTTGATTTGTGGACTTGTTGAAATGGGTCAAAAGCTGCCTCATATCAGTGAGTGTGAGTTAACTACACGGGGCTAAGATGCACTCAAGTTATGAGCCGTCATGTAAGAGGAACAGTCAGTCAATCACTGGCATGATAGCTGAAGCTTAGAAAGTATAATTTGACTATAAACTAAATATCATTTTGAATGAGTCAGCATGTTTCTGAGATTTTTAGACTCCAAAACATGGCTGCTCTTAATGCGCAAGTTGTAACAAATGTAAAAGGCAAGTAGCCAATATTAGATCCCACTAGAATGACTACATCGCCCCAAAAATAGACCGTGCTTTGACCTGCCACCTTGACAAATCAATATTGGTAAAACCTCCGCCTTAAAGTCTTCAACGTCTGTAATCTTTAGCCTAACAACGGCCCGCTGCACCCACAAAGTCTGGCTTGACAACAGAATCCAACTCTATATTTACCCCAAGCAGCATCTCTAATCCCTTACTAATGCTTTAAATAGTTAGACCCATCAGCACCTTTGTTTTAATCCTCCTTTCTTTTATTTTTTTTTCCTTTTAATTCAAGCTTGCCATCCCTTTTTTTAGCCTCGGCTCCCTCTGCTTCTGTAACCATGTTGTGGTTTGGAGTAAGGGACGGGACGGTTAGGGATGGAAGGAGAAGAGAGAGAGAGAGAGAGAGAAAAGAAAAAAAGGTGGGAAATAATAACGATGAAAAGAGATGAGACGGGAAGAGGAGATGATAGCTGTGGATGATGTGAAAGCCAGACAGGCGCAGACACAGACAGTGGAGCTTCAGGTCAGGACTGAAACAAAGGAGAAAGTACAAAGAGAGTACACACATTGACAGTCTGATCGTACACGACCTCTTGTGTCTGTGACGATACTCCAGCGTGGTGTTGTAAAGATGACATTTTAGAGTTTACTGACCTCAAAGTCAGAGAATGGACTCGTGCGGTAATAATGTAAAGAAGGAGGTATAAAAGAGGACAAAAGAGGAGGCCAACGGAGGCAGAGACAAGACGTTTTTTAAACTCTATCTCACATTGCCTTGAGGGACTTCTCTCGTGTGACATCACTCCTTCCGAAGTAAACACACGCACACACAGTCCCCGTCGCCACGGTGCCCACTTGCAACGGCAACTGGCCCGGTTGGAGGGGGCAACCGCAAAAACACACACATGCACACATGCACGCACGCACGCACGCTCTTTGCTAAATAATAGGAAATGATTGCAGAATTTATAAGGGGGAGACAAGAGCTGATGTCGACGTAGACACACACACACACACACACACACATACGCACACACACTTGTGACACACACCTCCCGTTGGAAAACTTGGCTTTCCAATCTTTAACAGTGTGTAATCCTGGGGGATAAGCGCTAAGATCCCCCTTGTCTCCGTGACAGCTTCAGGGAACGTGCCTTGATTTTTTTTTTTTTTCATTGTGTGTGTGTGTGTGTGTGTGTGTGTGTGTGTGTGTGTGTGTGTGTGTGTGTGTGTGTGTGTGTGTGTGTGTGTGTGTGTGTTCTAACCTCATCTCCTCTGTCCTGACAGTTGGCCTACTGTGTGGTGCAGTTTATGGAGAAAGATGCTACAGTGACTGAATATGTAAGTCATGTTTTATTGTCCTGTTATCACACACTTTCATCATCAATTTAAATTAATATTGAAGTGTCCTTGAATTGTAGTTTGTCATTTCTTTATACCAAATTACTTAAAGTGATACGGGGACGTGATAGCATTGCTTCAAATGAGTCAGCTGTGCTCATAAAATCAGATTTAAACTCTAATGAGTATTTTTTTTTACACAACACAACTCCAAATGATTGCTTAGTCTGTTGTTTGTTTTGAAAGCAAGAATGCAACTTATCCTAGTATGTCTGAAGTATAATCTTACAATCTGTCAATGTCTTATTTTTCTGCCCCCTAGTGGTCAAAATAAATGATTACTATTTTATCAGACACCCCTGTTTAGCTTTGGCTCAAGCCAGTGTTTAGAAGTGAAAGATTATAATTTCATCAAAACTTTCCTTCTCTATGTAATCGCTCTGGGAAATAAGGGGTTAACATCAACGGATAGGATCGAAGCTCAGCTGGTAATGTAATTAATACAATGTCAATATAAGTCATAGAAAATAAGACTTATGATAGTGTAACTCAAGCTCATACTTTATTATCATAACTGTCATCTCAATACTGTAAGATGGTCACCAACGTACTTTTGGTTTTGTTTACAAAAATGAATGCTTAATGCACTACCCTGCCGAGCTAATGGCTGCAGTGTGTATTTCTATTCATGTGCTATCTGTTTTCTCTGCAGATCATCAGAGGGCTGCTCAAGTACTGGCCTAAAACCTGCACGCAGAAAGAGGTGAGGCAGCTCACGCGCCCAGGTTTCTAAATGTATCCGTTGTGAAAAAACAATCTGAACATTGTTGTTCCTGCGTGTTCCTCAGGTGATGTTCCTGGGAGAAATCGAGGAGATCCTGGATGTTATTGAGCCGTCTCAGTTCATCCGGGTCCAGGAGCCTCTCTTCAAACAGATTGCCGCCTGCATCTCCAGCCCTCACTTCCAGGTGAACGCCATAAACACCACGTGTTCTTTTTCTGCATTCAAACGGTGTCTTGCAATGAGTCTAAAAAGTAAATTAAGACAAGAAAACAGCAATAATTAACCTGAAAGCAGCACCTTAACAGATTTAAAGAAAAAGAAAAAGTTGCTGTAGAAGACGGTAGAAAAAAAAAAAAGTCTTCCTTGCATGACTTCCCAAACTGAATGCGTCTTTCTCTGTGATTGCTTCAGGTAGCGGAGCGGGCTCTTTACTTCTGGAACAATGAATACATCCTCAGTCTGATAGAGGAGAACTGTCAAGTCATCCTGCCGCTCGTCTTTGCCACCCTCTACAGAGTCTCCAAGGAGCATTGGAACCAGTACGTGGCTCGCCCATCACACACATTAACTCAAAGCTTTTTGATATTAGATAGTAGATTTGATTTGATTGTAATCTCAAGCTCTGTTACAGTTTGACTGGATGTGTTCATTTCACATTTTGCGGGTCAGCAGTCACTCAGGTTACCCAAATATATGCTCAAAAACACTGTCAAAGTGGATTTCTCCCAATAAGTCCCCTTTAAAATCCGTCTCCTGACCCACGACTGAGCGTCAAAGTCCGCCGTCTTCTCTTGTCGTCCCTCCAGGACCATCGTGTCCCTGATCTACAACGTGCTGAAGACCTTCATGGAGATGAACAGCAAGTTGTTTGATGACCTCACTGCCTCCTACAAAGTGGAGAAACAGAAGTGAGTATGACTCACTCTCGCGTGTTTATTTGTGTCACTGGATACGACAATGACAACAAGAGGAAGTCATTGAAGCACTCTTAAGTCATGCATTTCGACTGCATGTGTTCCATTATCCATCACGTTATATTTCACGCTGTAAGTATGTATCGCTTAGGTCATCCCTTTAAAATCACATCATCATCATAACACGGTTTCAGACTAAAGATAGAGGATACTTTCTGAATCGAAATGAATGCAGCAGTTGGATATTTTTGCTTTCTTTTCGAGAGTGAATCAATCTCGTTGTAGGTGGAGTAAAGTTGAGACGTGGTTAGGTGGCTCTATTAACTGTGGAAAACTACACCTATCAACATCTATGGATGTGTCTTTATTACACTCTACTAGTGCTACTGAGGCATACGCAGGCACATGAAATACTGTTACATACTCTGTTAGTTTTACACATCTTTTTAGAACTTCTGTGCAAATTCTCCAGCTGTACAGAAGCTTCTAGATACAAGTGCTGAACCAGAGTTTGGTTGGGGTCTCTCTCCAGCAGAGAGGCATGTGAGACATGTTTGCCACAAATCCACCTTCGGCTGAGGAAGGCTATTGTATCAATACTTACCTTAAAATGCCTACAGACTGCAAATTTGTAAATTACTTTATAAAACCCTTTTTTTTTTTTTTACAGGAAAGCTCCGACATACCATCACATAGTGCAAAGATTTAAAGAGTTCATATGCGACCTTCAGAGTTTCCAGAATATGTAACTGTCCTGCGAGTGTCCTGAAAACGGCACGTATGTCCATAGTGCATCAATTAAAGATAAATTAACTTCATATTACAAATGTGTCCTTGAAATGGAAACTCTAAATGAACTTCCTTATTGTGGTGAAATCTTTACTTCTATATTTCATGTTTGGCTTTTGTGTGAAGTTTGTGAATTAGGTCTAAATCTCTGGGAAGTATTTCAATCACATGTTAAAGCTGTAAACATAATTCTCTTGTCTTTTAAATTGTCAGATCAATGGGAAATATATGCTCCTCTTCCTCTTGTGACCTATTCACGGCACAAGTTGACTTAAGTGACTGATCTGAATGTGCTTCTGAGGAGTTCATTTTGATAAGAGCTGGTTAAAGGTTAGCTTGAGGGAATCGCGTACCTTCAGAAGTCTGTGGTCTGCATACTCAAATTAAAACCAGGGACTATATTTCTGCTCTCGCCCTGTGCCCCCCTCCAGGGAGATGAAGCGGGAGAGGGAGCGTGCAGAGCTGTGGCAAGGTCTGGAGGAGCACCAGGAGCGCCGGATGCAGATGCTCACAGAGGCCGCCAGGAACCAGCGCAACCTCCAGGAGCGAGGCGAGAGAGGGGACCTGCCTACCCCTTCGTCCCCACAGACGGCTCCCTCCGACCAGCCGGAGTCCAAGACCAGTGGGGCCTCCTCTTCAGGAGCAGGGGAGAGCGCCACCTAGGTGTTGCTCTACTGAAACGGGATAACACAAGGGGTTTGGGGACAGGGAGAAGACACGAGGTTGATGATGAAGGTGTTGGGAGTGTTCAGATAAAAAAAAAAAGAGAAAAAAAGGTACATAACAAAACCGCTGTTCTTTTATCTTGTATCATAGAGGAGGTGGCTTTTTTGTCAAAGAGCGCACGGGCTCAGTGATCCCAGGTAAAAAAAAAAACCTTTTTTTTTTGTCCTGACAGAGTTGTGTGAAACTGGTTCACTTTTTTGCTGTACACACATTATTTTGCAGATCTGAAGATGAATATTGTCCAGGGGTGCAGGCCCGACCCTTCAAATTAACGCCGGGTTTCTTAAGCTGCAGGTCAGTGCCCAAAAAATTGGTAGCTGGCCTGCTTCAAATCAATCTCAAAACAGGAGCTAGAACTTCTCTGAACACGGAAACCCGGGTTCAACATGTGTCCAACAGATCGAGTCCGGGTCTGCACCGTTGCAATCGTATTCCTCTTCGGGGTCCGAGATGCTTATTTCATGCGTGGATAGCACAATCCATTAATAAACGATAAAAGAAGCAATTTCACACAAATGTCCCCGAACTATCGCCGCACCGGCCAGACACACTAACCGTCGCACGCACACAGACAGCAGGTACATATTTACTGTAAATATGAAGACAGAGCTAACGAGAGATAACGTGTATCCAGGTAATGCAAAATCTCACACACTAATAATCAACTGATGCACCAAGAGACATGCTCACATACATAAACACTTGCACACAAACACACGTTAAACACACACACACACACACACACACAGCTGGTTCTGGCGCTAACTCCTCTCCCATTCTGTCGGGTTCCACCAAAGGACGAGCCTAAAGTCCCTCAAGGTTAAATAACCACTGATGATGATACTGATATAAAGTACAATACTGTTCCTTCTTCTTACTTGTTACTCTACTACTACTACTCTACTCTACTCTAAGTACTACTGATGATGATGATGATGATGATGACGACGATGACGACGATGTTTTTATATATATACATATGTCTCTGGATATTTCTGTAGTGTATTATGGGAGAAACACTAGTGTAGCAGAAACCACCAAGGGGAAGTCCGGCTCAAATTCACATCACATGTTTAAGCGTACGAGGGCCGTAATGTGGATGCTGGAATTCAGCGGTATTCCCCTTTAACAGACCTTAAAACGAGGGAAGGAATGAACTGGATTAGCAGGTTTTTTCTTTTTCTTTCTTTCTTTTTTGTTGTTGAAAAATTGGGGGGGGGGATCTTTGTGGTGCGGGGGATGTGTATTCAAAAGGGAAATCTCACTGAAAATCCGTAAAAAACATTCCACGTTTAAAAAAAATTTCTTTCTTTCAAAAAAAAAGAAAAGCCCTGTGGAGAGCGGAGTTATGTTTCAATGCGTTTCCTGCCAAAACAACTTTTCTTTGTGTTTATCCTCGACAAATCTTCTGAATGTATTTCTTTTTTTCTTTTTAAGTGAATTTGTTCAGCCGACGTTTTGAAATGTTTACATTCATGTCTCCTTGCTCTAAATCTTCATCTTTCCAGCCATTCGTTGGTATTATGCTACATTCTATGCACGTTAAAAGCCACAAGCTATTGTTGGATTGAATAGTCTCAAACACACAGGAGAATGTGAATCATATTGCCCCATGTTCTCCTTCAAGTTTAATATCATGTGCTGGTACAATTACAAAACACAGGGAACCTGCTGATAGAAACATTCCTCCAGAGTGCCACTGGGGGTGGGGTGGGGGGGATACTCCACAGGGTTCCTTTAATTTGGATGCTTTGATGATTTGTTTTGGGCCAAAAGTTTGACAAATGTCCTCTGAAGTAGACTCCAAGCTTTAACCAAAAATGTATACAGACTTGTAAAACTCAGCGTAAAGGTTACCAGAGGACAAAAAACATGCACCACAATAAATTGGAACTAAAAGAAAAACCCAGTAATCCAGTTGGATTTCTGAACCCTGAAGCGTCTGTTCCTTTAGGCTCAGCAGACCTCATGCTGCTAGATGGGCGTCTATGACGATGAAAACCCTTTCCGGCGTGAACCAACAACAATCCGTTTATTCTTGTCTGATCATTACGGTAGAGTGATGGGATTTAAAAAAAAAAAAAAAAAAAAAAGAGGTGGGGGAAAAAACTAAAAAAAAAAAAAATTATTTTAGCAATATTTTCATTCTTTCAGGATACTCTTTGTGGTTTTAGGGGGTTAAACAGGAAGTGGGTGTCACACTCAAATGTTTACCCCCCACTCATGTTTTTACTCCTGTTGCGTCCTTGATATTCACATTGTCTTAAAGGTACTTTCTGTGTACATTGATTTGATGAAAAACGATCTTTGCTTTGTAATTATGTTGTTTTTTTCTTCGTGTTCTTTTTGTATGATCTTGTTCATTTTGTGGAAAACTGATACTGATGCTATTTATTTTCTATTTGATCAGGAAATGTAACCTTATTTGAAGATGATGGTCAGGTTGAGTGTGTGTGTGTGTGTGTGTGTGTGTGCATGCGTGCCTGAGTGAATCAGTGAGCAGGAGATGTGTGTAGACAGAGCGATAGAGAACGAGAGAATAGTTCTCTCTTTGTTCCTTTTTCTCTCTCTCTCCTTCTCTCCTTCCCGAGGGACAGGGTTTGAATCCGAATGTATCGTTAAACGATTTGATTGTGTTTTCTTTTTCTTTTTTTTATTACATTGAGACGCAGAGCTACCTGTCGGCTGCTTCGTAACCAAACGTTCCAAAAAAAAAAAACCCTTCAAATCAGCCGTTCCCAAACACTCACTCTGAATCATGCCTGAGTCAACAAGGTTGTGAAACCCATTTGATTTGCACCTCTAAGATTGGCATTTCACATTTAATGAGTACTAAAGCATCCCGGGAAGAGTCATTCATCTGACAGCAATGCATTTCTGTGCCCTGCCCAGATTGGAGTTTTCCTCTGGAGGATTTCAATTTGAACGACTTGTTCTGATGCTACTTGGGCTTTCGGGCTGCTGTTACACCTAATCCGCCTTCACTGATCTGTTTGTTGTTTTCTTCAAACATTGACACTGTAGCTTTCCATTTAATTGCATTGGCAGTTGTAACATCCAGGTTATACATTTCCACGTTTGTCAGTCAAAACATCACATCACGTTCGTTGAGCTTGAAAACAGTAGGAAAGAAAAACTCCACGTACTAAATAGCTTTGAAACAGTTGGAAATGGACTTGCTCCATATTTCTGGTGATGGCTTAGAAGTCATTCATGTGGCTGAAATTCTGAACTACAGTCATGTGGAAAATGGTTTTTGGATGTATTGCCACAGAACAGCTCCTGAGCAGTAACCATTGCTATTGGGACGGCTCAATCTGCTGATGAACACAGCTAAAAGATCTGTCGAAAATGAACCCAGAGTTAAGGTTGTGGCACATGTTAGTGTTTCTTACATTTTGGCTTTGACCCCTCAGAAATAATTCATGCCTACTTGCTACTCTTTGGCCTTTGTGTTGATATGATTCACAGAAAGTTAAAATAAAGAGTTTACCCTTTGGAGAGGCAACTATAGATCAGCAAAAATACAAATGAGTAAACATTAGGAGGGAAATCAGATGTTGAAGAGTATTTTTGACCCTCGTTATTTTCTTTAGGGTTCCAATAAGGGGCCCTGACCCCAAGGTTTGAGGTCATTAATATATGCCTCTATACCACAATGTTGTACACTTATTCTATTCAGGCCAGGTCTTTTAGTTGTCCCATTGTTGCTGCACACATCAAAAGCATGGACACTGAGCAGCCACTGATATCTTAGGTGTGACAGCAGCCTCATACAACCACAAACCTCAAAACCTGAACCCGCAGACACCATCAAGAAAATCAAAAAGCTCCCAAATGGTCGGATTTCAGACACTGTTTTGATTCAGGCAAAAACACACTTAACAAAAAGGACATGACAACTGTAAAGAGACTAAAAACCTGACCTCGCTGTCATAGAACTCAGCTTCTTTATATTTTGTTTTGGCTAGCTTACTCACAAACCCTCTTGATTGTTACCGTCAGTTGGTCAGCTGACTCGAGAAAACCCCTGACGCCCACTGATCTGCTCAACAGTTATACTCCTCTTATTTTTGAATTCTGCTGTACATTGTAGAACCGGAAGCGAGAGAAGAGCGAGTGTTCACAGAGAGATCTGGTATCACCTCACAGACAGCCATCAAACGCTGCTTCCGTCCACTGTCACATTTCCTCTCTGGCATTTTCAATACGGCCGAATTTAAACAAACGTTTTCAAATCTGAGGGGTGGTGTGTGAGTGGATTGGATGAAAGCAGCCAGTAAAGATTGGAGAGGAAAAAAAAACAGAGGAGGAGAAAGACAGAGGAAAGAAAAGACATAGAGTTAGACTTGATAGAATGGCAATAAGTCAGAGCAACAGTAATAGAGTGAGAATATAATGTTACAGAAACCTACAACCGCATTACGTAGCAATTTCACTGAATTTCTAGATTTGCACTGTCTGCCCAATGGTATGTGTTTGTTGTGTTGAAGAAATACCTTAGAGAAGATGACTAAGACAATGCAGAAGATGAAAATGTATATTTTGGGGACCAACAAAGCAGTGGGGGGGGTTTGAATGTAGAGAGGCTTACTACTGTACGTAACATTACAGGGGGTGTAGAATGGAGAAAAAAAAAACTATGTGCTAAAAATGAAACTTCACTTTGAGAAAACACTCTGGGAGTCTGTGCCATGTTTGTGTCACTTCTTGTTCCTTCACTCTCGCTTTACGGAGATCTTTTTTTCATATTGTCATTTCAATGTTGATTTAAAGGCACAGTGTGCATTAAATGGAACATATTCAGTTTAACTATGTGGACAAAGAGGCCTTAGTTTAGTTACAAACTCTGAATGGTGAAGAAAAAAAAAAGAAGCTTTTTAACTTGTGTTCAACGACGAGTTGAAAGCTCCCGCTGTAAGCTAACTGCCTCGCGCAACAGAAAAGCAAGTTAGCATCTAGCTCAGGGATGGGCAACTTTGGTCACAGCAAGGGCCACTTTCAATTAATTCTCACTGCCAGAGGGCCAAATTAAACGATTACAGTCAATTATGTCTCAAATTTAACTCGACATATACCAGTGATCTAATATTATTATGGACATATTTCTGGTTTTCATGATTTCATGGCAGATTTTGTCATCTTTTCTTCATGTTTCCAATTAGTTGATATGTAAAAATTGACCTGAGGGGCCACATTGAGGGTTGATGGGGGCCGTATGTGGCCCCCGGGCCGCCAGTTGCCCCACCCCTGATCTAGCTAGTGGAACATCTAACCAAGTTAAAGAGTCCTGTTAGAGTTTTTGAAATGTTTTTTTTTTAAATGGCAGACATCTTTCAAAATGCATGTAAAAAGTACAAAAGTAGTAAGGAAAATAAATAGATGGACAATTTAGATAATAATATTTCTTGTTATATTCTTCTACAATACTCAGACGTTTCTTTTAAATTTTGTTCACAATGACATCAAGAGCTTTTATGTTAACAGGAACTCTAAATTTTTTTTAAAAAAAGACAAAGAGCTATATGGAAGTTCAGGAGATCTTTAAGTGAAAATACACAAAAACACTGGTATGTTATGGAAATGGATTATGTGGCAGCTTTAGGGGAAGTTACTTGGATGAGTTCACATTATTTGGCATATCATTTCACCATGAATTTACAGGACTTTTTTAAAACTCTAGCCAATTTACCGTATCTCTATTATGTGTTTTTAAATTACCCAGCAACAGTTTGAAAAGGACTGTCCATTGTAGCTATATAACCATTCCTTTGTCACAGCATGTGTCAAGTAGAGCAATGACAATCCTCAAATTATTGAGAGTAGACCAGATAATTACACACACACACACACACACACACACACAGACACACACACACACACACACACACACACACACACACACACACACACACACACACACACACACACACACACACACACACACACACACACACACACTTACACCCACAGAGAGAGATACAGACTGAGTTTAAGAAAACATAGACAAGCATCAGAATTTTCCAAGGAGTCTCCATTATTTCTGGCTTGGGGTCTCTAATGGTTTTTCATTGTAATTGCTATGATGTCAGAGTGTCCGTCCGCCCTAATGGCCTCCTAAAAACAACAACAAGGACAGATTGGTTCCATTCACTGCATGTTGTCCGGGAAGAGAGACACAGAACTGCAGCAGCTCAGACCTCTGCAAGATTTTCAGCTAAAAAGGTGAGATGTCTTCTTTTTTTTTTTTTTTTTTAAACATCCATAAATCAATGTAGGACTGACATTAAAAATTGATTAATAAATAATTTTAAAGACTTTAACTGCTGTAAGTCTACATAAGGTTAATTTACATCACAGTTATAGTTGTGTTATTTCCTTATGCAGAGACATGGAGGTCCAGGGAACGCAGCGTGGTGTTTTTCAGGACTTATAAAAGTATCGTTCTGTTCATGCAGGAAGAATTTTTATATCAGTGTTGTATTTCTGTATTCCTGAAGTGAAGCATTCTGCAGTCTGGCTGAGATGAGGTAATTGCAGTGTCAGTGCAGTTTTTAGGAGTATGTTTGACATCCAGAGTCATCGAGCAGATGTCTCTCCAACAACGTTAAAAGTAATGATTCTTGATCCTGACCAAAAAGTTAAAGGAAACATGTCTATCGATGCAAGTGAAAATGGACAGTGACACGTTCATTTTTGTGACTGAATGTGGAATGACATTCTTTTTATATTTGTAGTCATTTTAAAAGTTTGAAAGTGACTGATTATTTCCAGTGTAAAGGTCAATAGTACATTTGCGGCAGTAACCATAATGAACACTAGAGGGAGTTGTGAGACATGCTGAATGTCATGTAGTCATCTCTAATATTATCTTCCCCTCTAGTTGTCCTCTTCTTAACAAACCATGTCATTATTTTTATGTATACATATATATTTATATATATTAATATATATGTATTAAGACAAGAAGCTGAATATAAATAATAAGACTCTTCAAACATAAAAGAGGACATTTAGGTTTAAAGGTATACCTTGTAACTTGAAGCTGAGGAAAACTGGATAATATTTTTATAATGATTCTTTTGTCATTGTTTCTCTTATCTGTCTCCCAATAATTCCCAGCATGCATCTCCATCTCCATCCCCTCTCCCTCTCTGTCCTCCTCCTCCTTGTCGCCGGGGCAGCCGTGGTGTGTGTGTCAGTGACGACCACGCTTCAAGATTTCCGAGGCTGCGCCGTGAGAGAGTTCTCCTTTGTGGCCCAGAAGCCTGGCTGCAAGGGACTGCGCATCACCACAGAGGCCTGCTGGGGGCGCTGCCACACCTGGGAGGTAACATTTATAAACACACACACACACACACACACACACACACACACACACACACAGACACACATAGTGGCAGTTAAGGGACACACAAACAGTAAGAGGAGTCCAACTCTTACCCATTTTCTGAAAGTTTCTCTCATACTGGAATCGTCAGACGTACATAAAAATGATGGATGACGCAGGACTTAACCCAAACCATAAGAGGGCTGATGACCCATACGTAATTGTCACATTAAATACTGAAATCCCTCCAAGCAGGGTGGGGTTACTAAACTTTATTGAAGTGCTCTAGTTTTTAGGGATTCAAACTCTTGCTTTTATTAATTGAAAAACCAACTTTAGGGGGTTATACTGGAACTGGAGGAGCCGTTTGAGGAAACTCAGTCAGTGACGGCGTTAGAGTTTGCAAAATGCACAAAAATTCTCAACCCAGGGTCAGTAGTGAGCTTTTTCTAGGACCTTCAGCAGCGTCTTGTGGTCCCCCTCAGCTGACAATAGACATCTTAACTCAGTTCATCTTTGGTTGAATACACTTATTAAGATTGTAAATGTAGATAAAGTAGATTCATTTGTATCTGTGTTACACTAATAAAACCGTAAACTCTCGCTCCAGTGTTAACAGTCAGACGACTTCTTTTTTAGATTTGAATTAATTTATTATATCTACAGTTTTCCCACATGAAGAAACACTTCTGTAACCAACATATAAGTCAATTGTGTGTATTTTTCTATCAGCAATGTAACAGATCCAGCCAGAATTTAAGTTTGATGGGTCATGAGCACACACTTTGAAACTTTTGTAACATTAATGCTTTCATTTTATTTTGGTAAATGTGAAAACGACGTCTAAAAGCGAAATCACATTCACCTGTGTGTCTCTGCAGAAACCTGTTCTGGATCCCCCGTACATCCATCGCCACCACAGAGTGTGTACGTACAGTCGCACCCGCCACATGACCGCCCGCCTGCCGGGCTGCCAGCCCAACGTGTCCCCTCTGTACCACTACCCCATGGCCCTGCACTGCCACTGCTCTGTCTGCTCCACACAGGACACGGAGTGTGAGACCTTCTGATGGACTGGACACTGCTTACAGCTAACAATGTTACCAACAGTTTTACTGATGTTAAATAATAACTCTGAATAAAAGAAGCCTGTCAAAACATGTGGAAGACTGAGTGTGGGATTTCTGAGTGGGGGATGAGAACACCAAACATTTACTAAACATGTACAGAATTATCTGGGTCAGGGTACCTGCAGGGATTGTCATCATCTCATATGTGTTAACATTTAAAATAAAAGGTGTAATAAAGAGACAAAAAGCACACACGTTAAATTACATGTTCAAAGAAATGAGTGATGTAAAATCAGAGAGAGGTTAGTGTTAGATACTTTCTGAATCTCATCTGTTTTACTAAATCTATCAAACAGAGGACTGACTTACAACTGAGCAACGTGTGCTGAGATGACCGAGGAGTCATTGGTCAGAAAATCTAGGTTTATTAGTACGTAGTTGAAGAAAATGATGTGACTTTGTTTGGGGATATTTATCGATAAATATTTGACTATAATTTTGAGGTTCAAGGAGATAAGTGTTACTATAAAGTTATCAGTTCCTTTTGTTTTTCAGTAAAGCTTTGTTCCCTCCGATGGACCAGAATCTATAGAAAGTCCCAGGGATTTCAATTGACCCCACACGGAGTCCCTTCTCCAGTGGGGGCCATGCAAGATTGGCTCACTACTCCCAGCATTCATAGTGCCTGTGGTGTAGTAAAGTGGACTGAGTGACTACCAAGCATGAAGAGTGGAAGGCCTTGATGAAGGCCATGAGCTCAAACGCATCAGTCTCGTTTGTTAATGGAGCTTTTTGACCTCCCCGTGTAGCAAGTGGTTTTACCAGCCAGATATTTCTCTGAACAGATCAGAGTGCATGATGGGATAAAATAAGAAAAGGAACGCTGAGTGGCAGGGCATGTGTTAAAACAGAGATCTATTGCTGAGATGATTATTATTGTTAAAATATCACGTGGGTTTTATGTGTCTAAGCCTGTGTTTGAAAAGGGGAACTTTTCCAATGACTGATTCTAGGTTCATTAGTGTGTGTGTGTGTGTGTGTGTGTGTGTGTGTAAAAATCAATTGTCCACATATAGATGACTTGTGCAGAATAGAAATTTATTGAAAACAGTTTCGTCACAAAACTATACAGTGCATTCTTTCTCTTTTCATTTCAGCGACGTTTCCAACATTCTTTGGTTTCATCAATAGATATTATTTACAAAATATCTTTCAGTTCAAATTCATAAATATAAATAAATTTGTACATTCTTTGGTCTCTCGTCTGTGGATAGTGGTTACTGCAAAGAATGAATTCAATGGCTATGCGACCTTTTTGTTGATTTCAAAAGGGGTTGCAATATCTTGACTGTTTTGTTTATTACGCTAAGTCATGAACCTTAATTTAAAGTGATATTAATCGTTTGTGGGTAGTGAGTTTGAATTCTGGACTGCCTGTGTGCTAACCCTTGCTATGCTGTAAAAGTATGAATAAAAGTGGAACATTTTTTTTATTTTTAGCTGCTCAAAAAGTCGAGTGTGTCAAGCCTTGAAGCAAAGTAAAACAAAAAAAAAAACAGATTCAGCCTGTAACACAAATGCATTTCAATCAACTTAATAAACCTGACGTCAGTATGGACACAAACACACAAACACACACTAACACAAACACACTCACATTGACAGTAACTTGTTCGAAGGTTTTTTTTTCTCTAAAGCTGGATTTGAAGAAGGTTTTGTTTCTGCTGCATCACTTGGACTCTTGTATCTCTTTGTACCGCTCATCTGACTGAGTAATAATGTGGTTCTTATCCTGGGGTATGTTGGGTATGCAGTGGACTGTCGTGCAGTGTCAGTAGCGAGATTTGCGGCACATGTCACAGCGGCAGGCCTTCGCTGTTAGGATCTCCATTTCTTCATGGTGACGACCTCGAGGACAGTCCAGACGTACTTTGACCTTAGGGGGACAAGCAGTAAGACATGATCAATTGGGATTAAAGATGTAAATTAAAGGCGGCCTCTTTCGATTTTGTCAAACTTATTTATACTTACTTTAGCATCCTTGCTGATGGTGCAGCATCTAGACGCGGAGGTGATGTTGTGGGTGAAGTTTGATGCCACCAGCACTGAGTACCTGGAGGGGAAGGCGCTGGACTCGCAGTAGCCCACACATGCATAGACCAGGTGGGTGCCTTTGCATGTCCCCCGACGATCACTGCGGATGGTCACATTGAAGGCTGAAGAGGGAGGAGGAGACAGGGTGATAAGTTAGGATGCTTGAGATCAAATGTGGTTTTACTGGGATGCATAACTTTAAGAGATCCTTATTATTATTTTTTTATCATAAGTTGATTTAAATGGCTGAAAGTTGAAGCTTAAAATCAAAGATGTTTCTCAGCTAGGACGGTTTTGAGTGCTTCTGAGCACAATTCCCATAAACCCTTTCGCTTTTTGTTAAAGGCAATTCTTTTTTTCTTTTTTTTTTTTTAGCTGAAAGCTTTGTAAATCTTTCTCCATTATTACTCACGGTGTAAGTGACACCCTGGGGTGGGGCCATCAACGCTCCAACCAATGGGAGAGAAGAGTAGCAGGAGTGATGTCACTGGAAGGACCAGCAGGCAGAAATGTGAGGTCATGCACAGCGACATCTGGATGGTAGCCTGGAGGGTTCAAAAAGAACATCAAAGTATATAATAAGATATTGATTCATTGAAAAACAGTCTTGAAAAGTTTTTTTGTTTAAAACAATTCCTCCGCCGTTGATGAGAAAGGTGTAAAATATTTGACAACATGGACCGTAAGCTTTTTGGTTAATGGGAGAAAAACATTTGGTATATTAAACGTCTTTATCCATCCGGCCCAGCGCTTATTTAGGGGTCGGGGTGAATCAGAGAAGCTATGATTTAATGGTTGGAAACTTAAACCTATAGAGAGGGACGTAAAAATCACTGATGGCCAATAAAGCTCTGTAAGTCAGAAAGGCTCAGAGCCAGTGATCAAAACCACAAAAAAAAGTTCTTGATGAAACTGAAGAAGCTGCATTATTCTGAAACATTGAGTTTTCACTCAACCTGAGCTGATGATCGGCTGAACTTTCCCCCTTTGTGTCAAAGTGTTGCCCAGAGCCCCTTGCTTAATAGGTGATTTCCCATCCTGCATTTCTGCCTGTGTGTCACTCAGCTGAGTAACAGCTAATGTGGATAAAAACAATACTGGCTTTCATTCTCTTTTGGATCTGCCTCATTTAACAGCTACCTGCTGACACACGTACAGTACGTGCGCAAAGTCAGAGCCGACTTGTACAGGCGCTCAAGCTGCTGAACACATGACAGCATGTGCCATAATCAAATAAAGGTCGTCGTTTAAAAATAGAGAAAAGGTGAATCAATCTGTAATTTACACCTCAACACACATGGGCCTGAACATGTACACGTTCTGAATGTGCACATCATGCAGGTGTGATCGTCACTGAGAGTCCATGAATGCACGTGCGAATGTCCCGCACACATACACACTCCAACACGTGTGTAAATAAAGTCATGATTTCCCTGGAATTTGGTGATCCTGACCCTTGACCTCTAAAATGGCAGCTATTTCCAGCTCCACTTCCCTCCGACTCAAGCGTTGGGAATTGGTGCCATGGTGATGTCGGAGCGGCCCAGGGGAAGGCATTAACACTGTTGGGAACGACCAAATTAACGGGTGTGTGTGAGTGAGTGTGTGTGTGTGTGTGTGTGTGTGTGTGTGTGAGGACATTAACCCCGTGTCAGCTGGTTGGGCAGGGGGAAATGCCCGGCTTTTTCCTCTCATGTCAGGTTTCCACGCCTGAAGCTCGTGTTTTAGGAAAGTGGGCTGTAATATGCTTGTGTGTGTGTGTGTGTGTGTGTGTGTGTGTGTGTGTGTGTGGGGGGGGGGTGCTGTTGTTCAAGACCACCAATGCAGCCGACATAACAATAACCCTAAAAAACTTATGTTCCAATGAGAGACGCTCAAACGCCTGTGTCAGGAACTAAACAGTGACAGACTGCCTGTACGCAGATCACTTATGAGAAATAAGCTTCAGAGCGGAAATATGTCACACAAAAAACTTCAGTTTAAAAGCTTAAAATAACACTTTTGTTGTTTATCATCAAAAACTATAAAAGCACACAGACCGATGGCAAAGGAGAGGTATACATATTTAATTACAAATCACCAAATGTATCTGTTTTTTTTAACTTAATCTACATTCATTAAATAATTTAGTTTAGACCAGAATGTGACCCAGAAGATGCAGTAGTAAAGTAGTAAAGGATGTAGAGGCTTGATGAAATCACCAGAGACAAATTTGATCTCATATAGCCTCGTGCAGCGTCCAAGAACAACCCAATTATCGAAAAAGTCAGCTGAATTATTAAGATCTTTAAAGGAAAAACAAAACTTAGTCTTGCATATTTCAAGAACATAAAAATGTGTGCAACAGTAAAATCTGCAAAATGTTTGTTCTACATTTACATCTAACCTTCAGGAAGTCTAAAAGTCACATTGTGTGATCCAAGGAACACCTCTATATGTTTCACATGCGACATGATCACTTGTCACAATTTGCACACAAAAACAAAACCTATACAAACCTAATATAAATGTCAAAAAGTAGCACATGCAAGGCAACAGCCAACCTTAACAGAATTTAAAGGACTATTCCAACAGCATGCAGACATGCACTAGCTTTTACACAAGGTGTGAACTGGAGCTCACTCTTACCTGAAGACGGACTGTAGAGCAGGAAGTGCAACTTGTTGAGTGCAGGGCAGGTGTGTCGGCTGACAGGTGTGTGTGTCTGTTCTGAGCCTCATGCAGGGATATAAGTAACACAGGTGAGAGTGAAGGCACTTATAGATGTAGACACACCCACAATTAGAGAGCTAAGAGTCTGTGGATCTTTCCTTCTTCCTCCCCCTTCCTATGGGTTCTCTTTCTTCCCCCCTTCTACCAGCGAAAGATGAACATTTGTTTCAGAAATATTCAAATTCTAAACTTCTTTCTCGGACTTCTTCCTCTGCAGTGTTACCATCTCTGTGTCCCTCCGACCAGCCCCCTCCTCGCTCCTTGTTTTAAACCATTAGGGGCACCGCTGCTGTGACACAGAGGAAAACTAGATAGGTTTTCCATCATTGCACCACCGCAATAGTAAGAACACACACAGCTTTACCTCTCACACATAAACACACACACGCAGACACACAAAAACACATGGAGCGGCATGCATAGCTTATAAACATGACATACACACTCGTATGCATGCATGCAGAGTCACACAAGAACAATATTGGAGGCCTCAGCTGTCAGTTGATACAAACTACAAGTGATCTCAGAAACGCAATTAATTGGAGACACACACACACACACACACACACACACACACTAACACACACACACACACAGTTTGCCTGGATTTCCATTTGTGGCTGCAGGAGGAAGGGCAGGGTTGGGTCAATAGATATTGTGGGTTTGGGTCATATCCGTGTGTGTGTGTGTGTGTGTGTGTGTGTGTGTGTTCAGGACACATGATGGGCATATTGTTGGGAACGCCTGGCTCTGCTTCTTGTCTTTCTTGTCTTGAACAGTCAATGTCAGCTTAGCAACCACCTCCCAAACTCCAGCAGGGAAAGACGGTCTTTTAATAGACCCTTGGATTATTTGTTGGACATTTGCAGCAGTAACAAACTGCCGTCTCAGACCACATGCAAGACCACATCCAAAAAAAAAAAAATCTAAAAATGAGTGTCCTTTGTTTTCCTACTGTGAGTATCCATGAGAAACTGGGTTTCAGGGTGAAGGAACAAATGTCTTAACTTGCTGGAATAGCAGGAATCGGAATCAGCTTTCCTGTGGTTTTTGGTTTTCAGTGAGTCTTAAGAAGTTTGGGCCTGGGTTTGGTAATAAGTGCTGTTGTGGGTCTTTAAAGTCCTCTATGACACTATACTCCATTAATATTAGGCAATAAAAATAAATGACTCCTTTGAAAAAAAGAATCTTTGTCTTGACTCTAGCTAGCAGAAATTCTAGCTGGAGTGAATCCAGTGTGTGATTCAAACTCACGTTTTGCTTGAGCTCACTTAATTGTGGTTTGATCCCAGGTGTTATATTCATCGTTTCATTGTATGATTCAGCTACAGCAGCTCCACATCTGTCTTTTATCATTCAGAAAGTCAGACTGCAGATGTTCATAATGTCCTATGAACAACTGCAATAAAAAAAAAAGAAGCAGTCCCTGGAACAGTTCCTTGAGGAACGCCGCTTTAATAAGTAATTTAAACAGCAATCATAGGACTTGATTGATACATGTAAGGTTCTTTATCCACTAGAAAAATATAAAATTAAAATTGAATTTGCCATAAACAACGAAAGCCTGCAAGAAGAATGTTTACATTTTTGAAAGGATATCAACTTATAGTGTCAATATTTCTCTTCAAGGAGTTACGATGAATGACAATGCAGCAGATAACTGCAGAAGCAACAGAAAAATCATACCTCTTTTTTTTGCCTAGGATAAATTGAGTATTCTTACTATACTGGCAGAATCTTTTCTTGTTTAAGTAAAAAACGACCGGATAACATAGAAACTGACTGCCAAAAGGACCACAGTCAGATATATATCTTTCTCTTCTTCAGCTCAGAGCTCCCCTGTCCAGCAAAAACGATTTATCAACTCATTATTGAGCCACACTTTTGTGCTCAAAGACAAGTTTCAAAGTGAATATAGCCCCCAAACAACTTCACTTTGACTATTGTCTGGATAAGATATGCAAAATGAACCAAACAACCAACAGTAAAACAAACCTATCTTCATATGAAAAGAAGACGTAGACCCCAGGCCCGTTTATTTAACCTTTGTCTGCACCACATTAGAACTATAATTGGAAATATATTAGTCAAAGTTGGTTGCCTCCCAGGTGATGGAACGCCCATGCATGCACTTTTGTTCATACCCATTTTTCTTTCAGTAAGGGCCTTTATAGTTTTATACTTAAAACTATTCCATACAAACAGGTTGCATTTGTAATTTAATTATTAATTCAGAATACATGCAAAGACTTCCACTGCTGCACTTTCACACACAGACACACACATACTTACCTCCACACATCCGATGGAAAACACAATTATCATCTTATGGCCCCTTTGCCCAAAACATTCCCAATCTGGTTATGTCAATGGAAAACGGAATGTGTGACATCATCACCTAACCCCCCCCCCCCCACACACACACACACACACAAAGCATGCAAAACAATTAGTGTGTTGATTATAAGTTACACAGACGGCCATGGAGTGTGTTTCTTCTGACTCCATGCCAACCAAAGAGAGAGCGAGAAAGAGAGAGAGAAAGAGAGAGAGACACTATAAATCTGAATGGACTACAACACCTCATCATGGGAGAGTTAGACATGAATGAACTTTCTTAAACTGAACTTGAGACTCTCTTGCTCTCTCTCTCACACACACACACATTTCTGTAGTGTGACTCAGCCGGGTGACTGATGTTTGTATCTCTCAGTGGCCCCATCATTCTCGGCTGCCGTGGAAACCATGGCGTCTTGAATAACTATATCATTAATGTGTCCACTTCCACTTCTGCCCTGTTATTCTAATCTCACAGTGTGTGTGTGTGTGTGTGTGTGTGTGTGTGTGTGTGTGTGTGTGTGTGTGTGTGTGTGTGCGTGCGTACGTAAGTGTGTGTTTAAATACAATATGATACATGTGTGTGTCTGAACTGCAGTGCCGGATGTATGTCTATGTGTTGTATTGAGTTTGGGGCTGATACAACTGTTGGTGTCTGTTATTGTAAGTGCTGTATGTGTGTGAATCATGTTTGACAGGAGGTCGTGTGTATTGTCAAAGTGTTTAAGTAGATATGACTGTACGATAGATGATGTGTGTGTTATTTTGGGCTCTATGACAATATAAGGAGAGGATTAGGCAAAGTTTTCCTGTGTCTAAGATGATGTTGTAGTCCAGTTGACCCGTCTACCCTCATGTATAAACACACACATGCAGGCAGGGCCACGTGCATGCAGACACACACGCACACACACACAGACTTTTCATGAAGTTATCATCCAACTTTTTTTTGGAGGGGGAACAAACATCAGCTTCATACATTCAAATGCGAAGACAAAAAAAACACACATTTACAAGCCTGCACTCACAAAGATAGAACACTTAGCTGATTTAGATTGACAGGAGGAAAGTGGAGTTTCCACAAGGTGACACTCAAAGGAGCTCAAGGTGTGCACTTACGAGAACACATAAACGCACACACACACACACATGACAGAACACACAAGGAATGGAAATTTTAAGAATGAGTGGGTATTGTCTAAACTTGGAATGTGTTCCTGTGAATCCATATGACAGTCTGCACACTGAGACAAGATGATGCTGAAACGTGTTACTGCAATTTTTATTTTATTCTGAAGAACAGAGGCTCGGAGGCTAAAGAATTAAACACAAGGTGAGCATAGGAGAAGCTAAATAAAAGGATCTTCAAGAACAAAAACATGCTACAGCAAGGAAATGAAATGCAAAGGGCATTGCAAATCATGAAGGCAAATCTAACTGTATCTGGATTAAAGATGGAAGCTAAGATATAAAATGAATTCCAGCTATGCACCAATATGAACACAAGTTGATTTATTCCATCTGTTTAAATTTTGAGGGTGTTTTTGTGCTTTTTGTGTCTTTGTTGTTGACTTGGAAACAGACATTATGAGTTAGCTGGTGTGTAAAAGTGTCCTGTGTAACATAGGTTCACTAGTTTTATACTCCCAATACAATTTAACATGAAATAAACAAAATATAGATTCATGTGAGCGCTTTCTTACTGGCACAGCATCAAATCAACAATCAACATCCATATCAATAGAGACCTGAAGCGAGAGAGAGCTGGTATATGATACTGCTTCTCACTTTGGGGCAAAAACTGGTATTTTAAAAAAGATGCAGCATTTCGGAGAACGAAGGGGACGCAAATATAAAAGATAATTAAACACATTCGCAAAAACACTTTTCTTTACTTTACTGCAGAACTTTAACCAAACCAAACTCCATTAAGTCTCCTAGACTGGAACCAGTAGAACCTCCTCTGACTGCGTCCGCTCTCAGGGATCTCTGAGAAACAAGGAGAAGGGGAACACAAGGCTGCAAAGAGAGAGAGAGAGAGAGTATTGAGTGTCTCTGCTCTTGTTAATATACAACTAAATCTTCATTCCAGAACACATTTGTCTTCTCTGTGCTGAAGGACATCGTGGGAAAGACGTGGATTTCAGTCCTTTTTAATCTCTGACCACTTTACTGTGTTTAGATGTGAAGTTTCAGTTAGGTCTTGCTCCTCCTGGGGGGGTTGTAAAGTCAATCAGACCTCAAAATAAGACAATTAAATCATCGTTATCTCCACAGGTATTAATCTTCTTCCTGTGTTCAGATTTACCTCTATGTTCTTAATTTGTTCACCTCTTGCTCTCAGCATGCTGGCAAATACTCTTCCATGTTTTAATTGCTTATAATGAACCCGAGTCAAGCATGTTGAAGGTGTTGAAGGTGTTCACAGCTCAATCTGCTGTCATACAAACCTGGCTAGTCGGGTCAGGATCCCTCTCCTTTCAGGGGTTCCAGGCTCAGAGTCTGTATCTCTCTCTCCTCCTCCTCCTCCTCCTTCTCTTCTTCGTCCTGTATCATCACGGCCTGTGTGCTCGCTGGATGCACTTCCCCTGGCGTCCCTTTTCCTCTGTCAGTGCTGACACTTGATTTCTGCTGGGGTTCCACAAACCCTTTGGTCCCTCTCTGAAAAACAAGATGACCTGAAATTAAATACAACAGCACAGCGCATCTTTTTTTTAACCTAAAAGACTGTTTGTGAAAACCTTTTCCACCCAGCATAGATTGCCCTTTGTTTTTGTTTTTAATTTTGGGTCTAAAAAAACTTAAACTTTTGTCTTTTAAAGACATATAAGAAAGATGTAACAGTAATGCTTCCTGCTCAGCGTTCAAACCTAATCCTTGTTAAAGCTGATAGACTTGTGTTGGCACATCCTTCTCAGAACATGAATAACTAAATGGGCTGACATAATTAGTGTAAATCATTTTTTCCACATGTTAATAATTTGAGTGGAAAAAGCCAAGCTCGAGAATGATGAGGAAGAAAAAAAAAACAAAGAACAAAAAAAACAAAAAACGCTGTCAGAGTGGACAAGTTTAAAAAAACACCGGATCAGATGAGATGAAGGGCTATTGATGAAGACGAGAGGCGTGTTGGGTAATTTTAGGACTTTGTTGCTAATCAAACTGAAGCACTTCACTAGAAACACTCTTCACCTGATGTTAATACTATTATTAACCATAATCACACTCGTTATCCTACCTGTCTGCACTAACATTAGCCTGGAGCTACAATAAAGAGAGATGCTACAAGTGTGTGTGTTTATATAGGCGAGAGAGAGAGGAAACGAAAGTGTGTTATGAGATTGATATCAGATGATAGATTTCTGGAATCAATTCAATCTAAACTTCTGTGGGCGTAAATGACTGACTTCTTCGTTTGACATGAAAGAGAGTGACATATCTGTTCAGCGGTAAAAGCAGGTGATGAGTCAGAGACTGAATAAATACATGAAAGACTCACCTTGTCATCATGTCCTGGATCTTCTCTGGCCTTTCGCCCTGCACATCGATATTCATAATGCAGCCTGACAAAGTTAGACAGAGGCGAGTTTATTCCCTTATTAATATCAAAATAACTGGTTTGAGATCTTACACCACTACACACCAGTAAACCTAGTAAACCAAATACATTCCATTGAAACAAGAAACAATAGTTTGTGATAATGTTTATAATCTGACTGAATATAAATATTTAACAGACTTAATTTTAATTGCATGCATCGATTAAACTGTTGAAATGCCTTTAAAGCATGTGATGCTACTTTTCTTTGGCCCAAAAACAGTTCAAAGATTCTTCTTAGAGGGGCGCTCAACTGTCCTTTTAAAGGTCACATATTATGCAAAATACACCTCACCATGTTTTTCTAACACTAACATGTGTCCCGAGTCTGTTTACAAACCCCCAATTAATAAAAAACTCCATCCTCTCTGTGTTTTGCCAGCTCCACTTTTAAAGAAATGTCTGCTAAAACAGGGTGTTTGGAGATTTTCCCTTTGTGACATCACAAAGGGCAATAACCCCTCCCCCAGGTGGGTGACACTCCCACAGCTAGGTGTTTGTTATGCCCTCACGTGTCTGCCTTTTCATCATAAACAATGGCGCATGATGCAAGAAAGCCAGAGCCGTCCAAGCCTTTCCAGAAAGGAGCGTGGTCAGACACAGATCATTTGCATTTAAAGGTACAGACACAGAAACAGCCTGTTCTGAGCAGGGCTGAAACAGAGGGGTTTATAGGCATGATCAAATACAGGATCAGAGTGGATTTTTAGTAAGAAACTTCACAGACATGTTTTGGGGAGCTCTGAGAATTATTTAAAATTGTTTAAAGGAGTTTAATATGTGACCTTTAAAGGAACGCTCAACTGTGCTTTTGAAAACAAAGACTGCAACAACTTATGAGTGATGGCCAAGAGACCAAATCACATCCCCCATGTTTGAGCTACTGCTTGACCAATTACAGTAAAGAAAAAAAAAGAAAAAATCCCGAACACAAACCCTCTACATGCTCAACAGTTTGTAAAAATCAGTTTTCTATCTATCACATAGATCAGAAATAATCTCTTTAATATACGTGTATCTTCTATAATATACGGCCTGTTCCGCCAGAGAAGAGACATTGCACAGAAAGTGTTGTGACAAATCTAGAAGCTGTCACTTATCGTCTGCTTATGACCACGGGGCCTCTCCAGGACATCAGGCAGACACACACGAGTGAATGCCTTCGCTGAATCAGCAGTTTTCAGGAAGCGTCTAAGAATAGACCATCCTGACAGTCGGTGAACTGACACAGCCGCCGCGTGTGTTTGTATGTAGCGCCTTTGTTTCGACATGCTTAGTGTTACGTTCAATGTGCTGAATATAATTGAATAAGGATCGCTCGCTGACACTTGATTTCCTGTGCACATGTAATGATGCTTGAGGCCCCGCTGTTTGCAGGATGTTTACACAGTTTGTGCATCTCAGTGTCGAGCTGGAGTCCAAAAAGAGACAATCTTTGTTTATTCAAGTAGCAAATTAGGTGGAAGATCAGCTCTAGTGTGTGTGTGTGTGTGCGCGTGTGTGTGTGTGAAGGTGAGTGTTTTTCAAATAATAATTTTCACATCACTGATCTGACTGTCAGTGTGATTGAGGTGGCGCCTGGTTTCCTCTTGTCTGTTTCATAACCGCAATAATCCCTGGAGCGTGTACGTATCTGTGTGTGTGTGTGTTTGTGTGTGCATGAGTGTGTTTGTGTGTATGTGTTTATGTGTGACTAAGGGCAGTTGTGATATTACGAATAAGAACACATAACTTTTGTACACAGGTGTGTGCACATGTACAAAGCTAATGAGGATCATTTTGCACATATCTAATTTTGTCTTAAAACTTCATTACATTGAATATATGTCAGGGGGCGGGGCTTAGCTTGTAGACTTCAATGCTCTGTGTTCAACGGTCATATATTGGCCTAGAACCTTTAAAGGGAGAGTGGCTGATAAAATAATAATTCATCTCTGACACACTCTTGAAAACATAATCCTAAAGGTAATTAACACCTGAACCTCTGGGACTGGTTTCTGTTCGCACAGTCTTAGTTTTATATAGAATGAATGTGTCTGCATTGATGAATGCACACAGCGCACTTTATTAAAGAACGTTCTGATGAAGAAGGTGGGGTCACAAGAAGACATGTGCATCGCTTCAAATGTATTTTTGATTCTTGAACCATTGGAAGAACCACACATTCATATTAACTTTATGTTAAATACGACGAGTGCAATTTAAATATAGCTGATGGTTGCAGAGATTACTCACCCATCCATGAAACCCCTGCTTTCAGCCTCTAAGTCGATGGTTAAGTCCTTTAGTATGGCCTCCTCTAGTGGTGAATCTCTCCTACTGCGCTTTGTCAGAGGCTCAGAAACAAATGGAGATTGTTCAGCTTCTTTCTGCTGGAAAACAAACAATGCTTTACTTTTTCACACAACTATAATTAAAAAAAAAACAATGTCACATTATAGTGTGCAAAATAGATACACCGCATTTAACTCCAAGACATACAACTTGGAAATATCTTGCCATGGACTGGACTGAACTGTGTAAATCAACAGACACCTGGATCACGTTCCAACCTGTGTACGCCTTAAAATCGATCCTGCTCTCACTCCTTAATCACCAAAACAACAACTTACTAAGCTCAACTTCTCCCCTGCTGACTTTCCTGAAACAAGACAAAAATAAACACATAAAAGATCCAGAATTACGATGTTGTCAGTGGTAAATAGACTTCAACTTGTAAAGCACTTTTCTAGTCTTCTGACTACTCAAATGATTTTTACACAGCATGCCACATTCACCCATTCACACACTGATGGCAGAGGAAGCTATGTACGATATGTCCATCAAGCATTAACTAATAGCATTCATTCACATTCACACGCCGCTGACGCAGCAGCCGGACCGACTTGGGGTTCAGCGTCTTGCCCAAGGACACTTCAATATGTGACTGCAGGAGCTGAGAGACGACCGACTCTACCACCGTGACGAGTGTCCATCCTCACCATTCCCCGTGTTTTTCTCAAGGTAGACGAGAAGATTTAATGGATAGGCTTTCAGGTTCCCGTCACACTGTGTGCACATGACCTTCGAACTCCCTCCCATGGCTTCTTGTCTGGTAGTTAAGAGTTAAAAAAAAAAATCTCTGATGCTGTCTCTTTGATCCATATTTGGCTGCACAGCAACTCAAAATAAATTGATATTGCTGTAATTTAAGTGCATCACCCGACTGTCTTTTTTAGTTTTACAGTTTACTACTTCAAATAAAGATACTAAAATCAGAGATTGGATGGTTAAGTTGGTGGAATTATCATATATTATCATATATCTTCATGATACAGTGATGGATGGTGGAATAGGTAGAAAGCTAACGGAAAAATCAATACATGGGTGAATCAACAAAGCGATGAACTCATGAACTCAGGATACAAGGAAAGACGTTGAAGTGGGTACTGGAGAAGGGCCCGAGACTGTCCAGGTTGCCAAGAACAGTTCTGACAATGTCCTAAAAAACACAATAAATGAAAGAGCAATTTGATAAATGTCACATTTAAGAAGAAAATGTATTCTTATAAAGAATAGAGTTAATGACAGTGATTTATCATAACAATTATGAATGCAGGTGAGGATGAGTTGTATTCATAATCACCTCCAGTTCTTCATTCAAGCAGTGTCTTCTGATTACTTCCTCTCCACTGATAAAAAAATATATAACAAACATACCGGTAAGTAACACACATTGGGGCTTTTAAAAGAAGCCATTAACAGCGGTGTTGTTATATTATGTGAAAATAGAAACCAATGTGATTCATGTTTCCTTGCTTGTCTGCAGCTCATCCATCCCCCCCAGCTGCTTTTGAGACTCAAATAGCAGACAGCAACAGTTTCTAATACTTTTAAAGGACTGAGCTTCGTGGAGAATTGAATTGTTTTCTTCTTGCTTGTATATGTTTTACTTCTGGTTTTTAACTATAGTCGATTTACTCTGCTTGTAAAATTGTGAACAAGAGATGGAAATAATTATGGGCTGAATGTATCAAGAAAGAAATAGAATAGAATAGAATGACTTTATTGATCCCAAACTGGGACATTGTGGCGTTACAGCAGCAGGTTATCCAAACACACAATATGAGTAAAAAAACACAATGTTAGCAAATCTAAACACAATATAATATTAAATACAAAGTAAATAAGCACTAAAAATATCAAAACTAAGAATGTGAATATATACAACCAGGATTTAACTTAGCATTACTAGTCTTAAATAGGAAGATTAAATATGGAAGATTAAATGTAAACGTGCAAAAACAGAGTTGGAAATGGTTGGAAAATAAAAATGAAAGATTAAATGTAAACGTGCAAAAACAGAGTCGTGAATTAAATCTGGAAGATTAAATGTAAATATGCAAAAACAGAGTTGTAAATGGACAGTTATTAAAATAAATTAGAATAATCAACCCCATTGCAGTTTCACTAATCCAAAGCTTTGTCTCTTGTTTGAAGTGGGGTCAGGAAATAGTTTCTAGCAATATTTAAAGTTGTAGGTTTTTCACTCAGGGTTTCCTTTAGGTTTGGAGGTAAAAAAAAAAAAAATTAAAGCCAGTTAAATGATTTAATTTCTGGTCATATTATGGAGTATACTCTCTTTCATTTGCAGAAAAATCACAAGGTTGTGCAACTGGAGCTGCTTCATTAAATCAAGTATCTTATATTATTAAAAGTGGAACCAGTGAAGGAGGCAGTGATATATATCAGGTATAAACATGTGAGGATGTAAATAAATGTCTTGCCTGTAGCTGCTGCCTCCTCTGATCGTGAACTTGTAGATTAAACTACCAGCTTTGATGAATCGAGTTTCAGGTAAAGGGAAGGAGAAGGCTGACAGAGGCATGGCTGACCTTGAGAAATTAGGGCAAATTAAATCAACAAAGCTGCTAAATTAACTTGTAAACAGTTAAATTGGTTGAGCAAGCTAGGTAATAATATAAAACGATAGGATTCAATGATAATTACCTCGTGAGACAGGCTGGAAAAGTGAAGTTCTATGACTTTAAAAAAGAAAGAAAAGGTTGATAGGGTCAAGTCCCGCCTCCCCGCTGCCGCCGTGTCCTTTCGCCATTTCTGGTTGGCTTACTTCTTCTGTCAATCAGAAGCGTCACTATGGTGACGCTGAGACCTTACCCGCCTGCAGTGCCTGTCATGTTAGCGCACTGTTAAAGTTTAGCACGCTGCGCGCAGCTAACGGTGTTTGCAGCTTTCCTTCCTTCTGTTTAGTCGCTGAAGTTATAAAGCAGGGACAATTGGCATTTATATGAATACATTTTAGAAGCTTCACTTCAGTAAGAGATAAACAGGTAAGATAATTCTATATTTAATATCTTTGGTGTCAACAATGTCACGTTGTAGTGTGCCTGTACACCTTATTATAAATGTACTTAGAATAATACTGTTGCGACCTTTACCCTTCATGTGCAGTGTGGCATGCATGAGTCATTTATTAACCTTACACTGTTGTTGAAGCTGGCAAAATTCAAATGCATTTATATTAACTCAGAAATCTCCCTTACTGTTCTCTCCCCTCTGAAAGTGTGTATTAAACAAGATGTCCCTCACCTCCACTACTCCCTCTGTCCTCCTGAACACGGGGGTTCAGATGCCCCTCCTGGGTTTGGGGACCTACAAGTTGTGTCCCCTGAAGATGTCTGCCTGGCTGTGGATGCAGCACTGCTGGCTGGTTATCGACACTTCGACACTGCAGCCTGCTACCAGAATGAAGCTGAATTGGGCCGAGCCCTCAAGAAGCTCCTGCCTAAGCATGGCTTAACCAGAGAGGACGTCTTCATCACCAGGTGGAGAATACATTTGATCCCTAAAGTTTGACTCAGTGCAATTCCCAACAACCCTCTCCTTTCTCTATCTCCCCGCAGTAAGCTGGACCCAAAGGATCAGGGTGAGAAGGCCATGGAAGGAGCCCTTCAGAGCCTGTCTCAGCTGGATTTGGGTTACATTGACCTCTACTTGATCCACTGGCCTGGCACACAGGGAATGGATGAGGCTGACCAACTCAACCCAGGTGAAGAATATCAATTAAAACAAACCCAAATCATACACAAACGTCAAACATGTCCGATGTGTCTTTTGGCAAGACACTTAACCCCCACATTGCTCCCGCTGCTTCTGCGGCGGTGTATGAATGGGTTTGTACTTACTCTCTGATGTACGTCGCTTTGGATAAACGCTTCTGCCAAGTGAATTGTAACATTGTAACAAACAGGCGATCTGCTTGTTAAAATTGTCCCTCTAAACAGGACAAAGTACGCACAGAGTGTAAACACAGAGCATAGTTTGTTCTTCGTGAGGGTTTTGTTAAATAGGCTACAGAGAGATAACAATGTTGCTCTTTGCCGCCGATAACTCTGAGCCTTTTGTGAGCTGCACCGCCTCTGCAAATGTGTGCAAAACCAAAAGTCTTTCAAAAGTCTAAACAGCTTTTACAGTCAACGTGACGGCTGAAAAAAAAAAAGACATCCTAAAAAAGCTGAAGGAATTTTTGCTGGCCATTGCAAAACATGTTTTTGTTGGAATTAAAAATGAAATGTTGGAAATGAATAGTTGAATCCTGGAGAACATGACTGAATGTTTGAGTGTTTAACAAAATATTGTTCCCTTTTTAAGGGACGGTAAAAAAACAACACATAGCACTACACTGATTGTGCCACTACAATGTTAACTATTGCTGAGGATGTATCATAAATGGATAACTGATTCCAGTTAACAGAGCTCAAAGTTGGGTCACACTCGAGGAGCTGCATGCTCAGGGGAAGCTGAAGGCCATCGGAGTGTCCAACTACACACCAGCACACTTGGAAGAACTGATGCAGAGCTGTAAAACTCATCCCGCGGTGATACAGGTAAATGTAATGATGGGTGGGGGGGGGGGGGAAAGGATGAATAACATGTGTCCTACAAGTAAGTTCTGTGCATCCTTTTGAAAGAACAAATGCAGAAATTGTGTTCCCTTTTTTTCCAGGATGAGTTCCACCCACAATTTTGCCAGACGGAGCTGAGGAGTGTTTGTGAGAAGTATGGCGTGTGTTTCGAAGCCTACTCCTCCTTGGGGAAAGGAGTGCTGGTCACTGACCCTGTCGTCATGGAGATAGCAAAGAACTGTGAGCGTACACCTGCTCAGGTAACCTCAACACACAGCATTTTGATTAACACAGTTTGAGCCAGTCTAGTTTACTAATTGAACAGTTAATAACATGTTTAGCGCCACCATTTTTCCTTTAGGTCCTTTTGCGCTGGGCGGTGCAGCAGGGTCTCCCAGTGATCCCCAAGTCGTCCAATCCGGGCAGAATAAAGGACAATGCCAGGATTTTTGACTTCACACTGAGTGACACAGACATGAACAGACTTTCAGCTCTGGACTGTGGGCGCAAGTACTGCTTGGATGCATCACAAATAGTTTAAATCATCAGTAGTCAAGCAGACCTTGTAATTCATCTGTGATTTTATGGAGGATCAGCGTTATTCACAATACGGCGCGTAGCTGACCTGATTAACAAGTGGGTGCGATGTCACGCTTTATCCAACAGGCTTACAACCCGCCTCAGCTCCAGCTCAGCCTGTCGTCAGTCTGACTGAAAGTTAGGGTGAGACGGCATTTCCAGCACGGCGACAGTCATCGATGGGACTCCAGAGCCCTGTGCAGTAACAGATGGGTGACGTCGCCCAGGCTTAATCTATTAATTTTCACATTCTATCATTGGCACTATAGATATAAAGATTGATTGATTGACTCTTGATGTCTCTTTACTGCTGCTGTTCTTCACTTCTCATTGTCAGAAAATATGCACCACAAAAAGGTGAACGTTTGACTGCGTGGTTCACAAAAAACCTTTGCAAGTATGCAAATTCAACAAATGCATGAGCTGATGGATGAAGATTCATCTGAGGTATTCAAGAAGGCAATTAACACATTGATTTACAAAATGTTTAAGCCCCATTTAACAATGAGAACCAGCTGCCTGACGTCCAACACTTGCATGTTGTTAACAAACCTGACAATGTGCCATCATTTAAAACACCATAATCTTTAATTATTCTTTAACAAAATAATGTGAGGTTAATTGGGTCCTATCCTATGGGTCCTATGTACAAAGCTAATGAGGATCATTTTGCACATATCTAATTTTGTCTTAAAACTTTATTACATTGAATATATGTCAGGGGGCGGGGCTTAGCTTGTAGACTTTAATGCTCTGTGTTCAACGGTCATATATTGGCCTAGAACCTTTAAAGGGAGAGTGGCTGATAAAATAATAATTCATCTCTGACACACTCTTGAAAACATAATCCTAAAGGTAATTAACACCTGAACCTCTGGGACTGGTTTCTGTTCGCACAGTCTTAGTTTTATATAGAATGAATGTGTCTGTATTGATGAATGCACACAGCGCACTTTATTAAAGAACCTTCTGATGAAGAAGGTGGGGTCACAAGAAGACATGTGCATCGCTTCAAATGTATTTTTGATTCTTGAACCATTGGAAAACCACACATTCATATTAACTTTATGTTAAATACGACGAGTGCAATTTAAATATAGCTGATGGTTGCAGAGATTACTCACCCATCCATGAAACCCCTGCTTTCAGCCTCCAAGTCGATGGTTAAGTCCTTTAGTATGGCCTCCTCTAGTGGTGAATCTCTCCTACTGCGCTTTGTCAGAGGCTCAGAAACAAATGGAGATTGTTCAGCTTCTTTCTGCTGGAAAACAAACAATGCTTTACTTTTTCACACAACTATAATTTAAAAAAACAATGTCACATTATAGTGTGCAAAATAGATACACCGCATTTAACTCCAAGACATACAACTTGGAAATATCTTGCCATGGACTGGACTGAACTGTGTAAATCAACAGACACCTGGATCACGTTCCAACCTGTGTACGCCTTAAAATCGATCCTGCTCTCACTCCTTAATCACCAAAACAACAACTTACTAAGCTCAACTTCTCCCCTGCTGACTTTCCTGAAACAAGACAAAAATAAACACATAAAAGATCCAGAATTACGATGTTGTCAGTGGTTAAGCAACTGGAGCTGCTTCATTAAATCAAGTATCTTATATTATTAAAAGTGGAACCAGTGAAGGAGGCAGTGATATATATCAGGTATAAACATGTGAGGATGTAAATAACATGTCTTGCCTGTAGCTGCTGCCTCCTCTGATCGTGAACTTGTAGATTAAACTACCAGCTTTGATGAATCGAGTTTCAGGTAAAGGGAAGGAGAAGGCTGACAGAGGCATGGCTGACCTTGAGAAATTAGGGCAAATTAAATCAACAAAGCTGCTAAATTAACTTGTAAACAGTTAAATTGGTTGAGCAAGCTAGGTAATAATATAAAACGATAGGATTCAATGATAATTACCTCGTGAGACAGGCTGGAAAAGTGAAGTTCTATGACTTTAAAAAAGAAAGAAAAGGTTGATAGGGTCAAGTCCCGCCTCCCCGCTGCCGCCGTGTCCTTTCGCCACTTCTGGTTGGCTTACTTCTTCTGTCAATCAGAAGCGTCACTATGGTGACGCTGAGACCCTTACCCGCCTGCAGTGCCTGTCATGTTAGCGCACTGTTAAAGTTAGCACGCTGCGCGCAGCTAACGGTGTTTGCAGCTTTCCTTCCTTCTGTTTAGTCGCTGAAGTTATAAAGCAGAGGACAATTGGCATTTATATGAATACATTTTAGAAGCTTCACTTCAGTAAGAGATAAACAGGTAAGATAATTCTATACTTAATATCTTTGGTGTCAACAATGTCACGTTGTAGTGTGCCTGTACACCTTATTATAAATGTACTTAGAATAATACTGTTGCGACCTTTACCCTTAATGTGCAGTGTGGCATGCATGAGTCATTTATTAACCTTACACTGTTGTTGATTCAAAATTCAAATGCATTTATATTAACTCAGAAATCTCCCTTACTGTTCTCTCCCCTCTGAAAGTGTGTATTAAACAAGATGTCCCTCACCTCCACTACTCCCTCTGTCCTCCTGAACACGGGGGTTCAGATGCCCCTCCTGGGTTTGGGGACCTACAAGTTGTGTCCCTGAAGATGTCTGCCTGGCTGTGGATGCAGCACTGCTGGCTGGTTATCGACACTTCGACACTGCAGCCTGCTACCAGAATGAAGCTGAATTGGGCCGAGCCCTCAAGAAGCTCCTGCCTAAGCATGGCTTAACCAGAGAGGACGTCTTCATCACCAGGTGGAGAATACATTTGATCCCTAAAGTTTGACTCAGTGCAATTCCCAACAACCCTCTCCTTTCTCTATCTCCCCGCAGTAAGCTGGACCCAAAGGATCAGGGTGAGAAGGCCATGGAAGGAGCCCTTCAGAGCCTGTCTCAGCTGGATTTGGGTTACATTGACCTCTACTTGATCCACTGGCCTGGCACACAGGGAATGGATGAGGCTGACCAACTCAACCCAGGTGAAGAATATCAATTAAAACAAACCCAAATCATACACAAACGTCAAACATGTCCGATGTGTCTTTTGGCAAGACACTTAACCCCCACATTGCTCCCGCTGCTTCTGCGGCGGTGTATGAATGGGTTTGTACTTACTCTCTGATGTACGTCGCTTTGGATAAACGCTTCTGCCAAGTGAATTGTAACATTGCAACAAACAGGCGATCTGCTTGTTAAAATTGTCCCTCTAAACAGGACAAAGTACGCACAGAGTGTAAACACAGAGCATAGTTTGTTCTTCGTGAGGGTTTTGTTAAATAGGTAACAGAGAGATAACAATGTTGCTCTTTGCCGCCGATAACTCTGAGCCTTTTGTGAGCTGCACCACCTCTGCAAATGTGTGCAAAACCAAAAGTCTTTCAAAAGTCTAAACAGCTTTTACAGTCAACGTGACGGCTGAAAAAAAAAAAGACATCCTAAAAAAGCTGAAGGAATTTTTGCTGGCCATTGCAAAACATGTTTTTGTTGGAATTAAAAATGAAATGTTGGAAATGAATAGTTGAATCCTGGAGAACATGACTGAATGTTTGAGTGTTTAACAAAATATTGTTCCCTTTTTAAGGGACGGTAAAAAAACAACACATAGCACTACACTGATTGTGCCACTACAATGTTAACTATTGCTGAGGATGTATCCCTAAATGGATAACTGATTCCAGTTAACAGAGCTCAAAGTTGGGTCACACTCGAGGAGCTGCATGCTCAGGGGAAGCTGAAGGCCATCGGAGTGTCCAACTACACACCAGCACACTTGGAAGAACTGATGCAGAGCTGTAAAACTCATCCCGCGGTGATACAGGTAAATGTAATGATGGGTGGGGGGGTGGGGGGGGAAAGGATGAATAACATGTGTCCTACAAGTAAGTTCTGTGCATCCTTTTGAAAAAAACAAATGCAGAAATTGTGTTCCCTTTTTTTCCAGGTTGAGTTCCACCCACAATTTTGCCAGACGGAGCTGAGGAGTGTTTGTGAGAAGTATGGAGTGTGTTTCGAAGCCTACTCCTCCTTGGGGAAAGGAGTGCTGGTCACTGACCCTGTCGTCATGGAGATAGCAAAGAACTGTGAGCGTACACCTGCTCAGGTAACCTCAACACACAGCATTTTGATTAACACAGTTTGAGCCAGTCTAGTTTACTAATTGAACAGTTAATAACATGTTTAGCGCCACCATTTTTCCTTTAGGTCCTTTTGCGCTGGGCGGTGCAGCAGGGTCTCCCAGTGATCCCCAAGTCGTCCAATCCGGGCAGAATAAAGGACAATGCCAGGATTTTTGACTTCACACTGAGTGACACAGACATGAACAGACTTTCAGCTCTGGACTGTGGGCGCAAGTACTGCAGGGATGCATCACAAATAGTTTAAATCATCAGTAGTCAAGCAGACCTTGTAATTCATCTGTGATTTTATGGAGGATCAGCGTTATTCACAATACGGCGCGTAGCTGACCTGATTAACAAGTGGGTGCGATGTCACGCTTTATCCAACAGGCTTACAACTCGCCTCAGCTCCAGCTCAGCCTGTCGTCAGTCTGACTGAAAGTTAGGGTGAGACGGCATTTCCAGCACGGCGACAGTCATCGATGGGACTCCAGAGCCCTGTGCAGTAACAGATGGGTGACGCTTAATCTATTAATTTTCACATTCTATCATTGGCACTATAGATATAAAGATTGATTGATTGACTCTTGATGTCTCTTTACTGCTGCTGTTCTTCACTTCTCATTGTCAGAAAATATGCACCACAAAAAGGTGAACGTTTGACTGCGTGGTTCACAAAAAACCTTTGCAAGTATGCAAATTCAACAAATGCATGAGCTGATGGATGAAGATTCATCTGAGGTATTCAAGAAGGCAACTAACATTTACAAAATGTTTAAGCCCCATTTAACAATGAGAACCAGCTGCCTGACGTCCAACACTTGCATGTTGTTGTTAACAAAGCTGACAATGTGCCATCATTTAAAACACCATAATCTTTATTTATTCTTTAACAAAATAATGTGAGGTTAATTGGGTCCTATCTTGAATTGACAATGGATCATCAGAAAATTGCAATGCAAAATGTAAATTAAAGAAACCAACTTTTAAAATTATTTATTTATGAGAAATAAGCAGGAATTTATACCTTAAAAGCTGTACATTTAATTTATTTAATTTTTTTATTTTTTAAAGTAAGAAATATCAAAACATGTTCTGGTTAATTTTTCCGTTTCCCATGGTGTTTTTTTTTTTTTTTAATCCCACAAAAAAATACCGAACACCACATCAAGAGGGCGTCAAACAAACAAACTCCACTTTCATCTTCGCTGGATGAATTCCCGCCTTCCGGTTGCTTTTGCCTTCTTCGATTGGCTAGATCATCTTCCAATCAGCGGCGTCAGAAAGTTGTCACCATGGCGATGCGGGAATTCCGCTAAAGCTGTCACGTGACTGTCAGCTGACCACATGGAGACGCCGGCAGCAGAAATCTCATACTGGAGTTAAAGTTCAGGGTTTTATTTGCCTTTTTAACACGATACGTTTTATTATTTACACTTTATGTAATTAAATGACAGGTCGTTGCCTTCCTAGACACTTATAATTAGAAAAATACTAAGCTGAAAGGACCCAAAAGGTGAGACAAGTATTTTTTTTTTTTACGTCTAGTGGCATTTTAATGCAATAGCTTTTCATGCAATTCTCTACTTTGCGACAACTAATTTCATGAAAAATACGTCATTAATCACCATCGGATGCTCTCGTTTAAATTCACAGTCTATAGTTTAGCAAAGCAGCATTTCTTTCAACTTTCAAGGCAGGTATAATTGTGCAATATTATACAGCTTTTGAAAAGTGTTCTGAAATGGCCAGGTTGTTGGTTAATTGTGACAATGTCTGCTTGTAATTGTCAACTTTCTTACACTTCTGCAGTGTACTATTTGCGTTGGTGATGCTCCTCAACCATAGACTGTAAATAATGTACACAGTCAATGGTTTCAAAGTGTATCATAAGAAATGTCTGTCTAATTGAGAAAAAAAACAAAAAACTCCCCTCAGTCGCCCATTGCAGTTCCAATACAACTAAAGAAAATCCTATTTATTTCCTCATTCAACTCTATCCCGTCCTTTATCAGTGTGGAAAAGAAAAAAAAAATAGTCCAAACAGGCCACAAAAAGAAAAGAGAAGCCGGTCAGATGTCCTCCACGATACCCTCTGTCCTGCTGAACACGGGGGTTCAGATGCCCTCCTGGGTTTGGGGACCTACAAGTTGGCAGGTCCTGAAGAAGTCTACCGGGCTGTGGATGCAGCACTGGTCGCTGGTTATCGATCCTTCGACAGCGCGGCCGTCTACAGGAATGAAGCTGAATTGGGCCGAGCGCTCAAGGAGCTCCTGCCTAAACATGGCTTAACCAGAGAGGACGTCTTCATCACCAGGTGGAGTACACAAGCTTATAGACTTTAAAAAAAGAACAGCATTGACTTTTTTGGGGTATATTTTTAGAAAGCATATTTTTTTTCACGAGTGGGATTATTAAGATGAATGTCTTTTTTAATAGATCTGGATAATAAACACGTTATGTGAATTTTGTCATCTCTCAAAGGCATACTTTGTACAATTATTTACAACCCTCTCTTCTCTTTTTCTCCCCGCAGTAAGCTGGGCCCCAAGGATCAGGGTGAAAGAGCCATGCAAGGCGCCCTTCACAGCCTGTCTCAGCTGGATTTGGGTTACATTGACCTCTACCTGATCCACTGGCCTGGCACACAGGGAATGGATGTGACCGACCAACGCAACCCAGGTGACATTCGTGGGCAGTGTGTACATTTAAACTGACAATAAACTAAATGAAGCAACTCTTTGTTTTTAAGGAAATAAATAATCCAGTTAGAAAGAAACATGATTCAATCTGTCCTCTCACTGTCCTCCTCAATTACGGAGTTGCACTTGAGTAACGGCAGAGATGAAGTCCGAGTTAATATTTGATGTCAGGTAACAGAGCTCAGAGTTGGGCCACGCTGGAGGAGCTGCACGCCCAGGGGAAGCTGAAGGCCATCGGAGTGTCCAACTACACACCAGCACACATGAAAGAACTGATACAGAGCTGCAGAACGCACCCTGCTGTGCTACAGGTTGAAGAAATGACAACACAAAACAGATAATCAATGAATACAAAAAAAATGTACTCCCAACACTTTTTGTCGGAGCAAATGCAGCAAAAGTTTTCTTTTCTTTATTCTTCAGGTAGAGTTTCACCCTCAGCTGTGCCAGACGGAGCTGAGGAGTGTGTGTGAGGAGTACGGAGTGTGTTTCCAAGCCTACTCCTCCTTGGGGAAAGGAGAGCTGACTGCTCACCATGTAGTCATGGAGATAGCAAAGAACTGTGGGCGTACACCTGCACAGGTAACCTCAACACAAATATATTTTGAGATTTTTTTTTTTTCCCCCACCAGGCTCAACTTCTAATTAAAAATCTAATGATATTTCAGCACAAACAATTGGAAATCATTAAATGTGATTGTTCTCCTTCAGGTTCTTTTGCGCTGGGCGGTGCAGCAGGGCGTCCCAGTGCTCCCCAAGTCGTCCAATCCGGACAGAGTTAAGGATAATGCCAGGATTTTTGACTTCACACTGAGTGACTCAGACGTGGACAGACTTTCGGCTTTGGACTGTGGGCACAAGTACTGCTGGGATGCATCACAAGTGGTTTGACGGACCCCCGATTGGAACAATTGTTATTCTCCACAGTTACCCCTGGAGGTGGCTGTTCTTCAGATCTGACTGGCAGTAAAGCCGTATTGAGAAACCAACATTACTAAGAGTTGAAGAATGAAGAATGAAGACATTAATAGCTCAGTTGATCAAGCTACTTGGCATTACCAGGATTTTAATTGACAAACGCACCTGCGAAAGAATCAGGGATTGAATCAAATGAATCAACTGAGTGTTATAGAAAATGACAATAGAGATCTATTCTTTTTTTTTTTTTTTAAAGATATTTTTCAGGCCTTTTTTCCTTTACTAGAGAGGACAGCTGAAGAGAGATGGGAAATGTTGTGAGGAGACAGTGGGGGATGACATGCAGCAAAGAGCTTACATCAGATTCAAACCCACTGCAGCTGCGATGAGGACTGTAGCCTCTGTAAATGGGCCGAATGACAAAACCGCTAGGCCATTGGCTCCCTCAGATCTCTTCTATTCTTCAGTCATATTTTACATAAAAACCTGAAACACTGAAAGCCTTCTAATCAGTCTGAATTCATTTGACTTCTTTGTTGTTGCCTCATACTCTTCATCAATCACCTTCTTAACGAGCACTGAAGCTTTTTGTGTTCAAGCCTTCCCTTCTGATTTGGTCTTTCAATGAAAAGAATCCTCTGCTGTGAAGAACTAGAAAACAATTTTAAGAATTACACACGAGGCTTACTTTAAAACCACTCTTAAAATTATTTATTCAGGACATTATAAACCAGAAGTTTCACAGCCGTAGAGAAAATTCATTTACAAAAAGTCATTGAAAAAGAAAAGAATCCAACAAAAAAAAAGAAGCAACTATTAAAACTCAATTTTCTCCACACACACACACAAACGCACATCTCAAGATTCAAGTAATATCAAGGATGGTTGCAGATATCCAGGTGCCCAGGCAGCTTTAACATATGAGGGGTGTTTACTGCCACAAATGTCTGAGACCAGACTCATAAAGCGACTTTTTGTAAGATGGCTAGTGTGGACAAAAAACCCCGGCATTAGCCAGTATGTAGTTTTCCTCTTAGGTGACAGTAAACATATCCGGTGTTATGTGCTTTTTATGTTGAAATGTGACTGTGAGCTGTTGTGTTTAAGGCGGTAGTTGGGCAAACAGACAAGGCTGGCTACATGGTGCCACATCACAGGTTACAGCATGTTCAAGGCAGTTTAGAAGTATTTGTATTACCCCAAGAGAGTAAAAGCATTCATATCTAGCCTCAAGCGCTCAACACCTTGTTCATATTCTCTGCTAACAGATTCGATCTTGTGTCATAGTACAGGTACAGTTCTGCTTGGAAGGACTTTTTCACTATTTTCTCTCTGGTTGTGACAGCATCTATACTTAAACAAAAAAAAAGTCCTGATATCTCGACTAGCATGTGAAAATTAAAAATTTAATAATGGTTGAGTTCTGTCTTATTTTGAAATGTGTCAATTTTAATGGCTCAGCATCAAATGGGTTGGGAGCTTTGTTATAAAATTGTTTCAAACAAAGTTCCACAGTCACCGTACACATGGTAGACTAAGGCGATTCTTACAAAGATGGTCCCACTCAGATTGTCAAAAAAATCTCAGAATAACAAATTTTTTCTATACCAAGTTTACGAAAAAGGCTTAAAAAAGGAGCCCAAAGTTTCACTTTAAAGATAATGGAAATGCAGCCTCTTAGCCTGCACACCCAAACAAATCACAAGTCAACCCTACCAGTCAGGAGGACGAGAGTAAGACACGTATAGAACAAACCTTTTACCATTTTTCAATAATCACATATCAATAACAAAAGTCACAAATAGCCTAATGGATTTCCCAAGATGTGCAGCAGTGCTGACCTTAAAATCAATCATAAGAATAGTTATATTCCCGACAGGTCATTTTGAGTTTATTATGTGCCAAGTTATCCTGAAAAGTCTGAATGTAATAAATGCATTAAGAAACCATCTTGGCTGGAAACAGATTTTCCCTAACAGAAAAAAAAAAAAGTTGAAAATATAGAGATGTTGCCCCAATACAATAACACCCAGTCCCCCTCTGATATCAGTGCAGTAAAAAAAAACATGTTTTACTTGATTTCTAACAGCTGTATGCTACTAAGCCTATGTGAGAATTATGATTTCTGTTGTTGGATAATCTAAAAGGATTCCTAACCCAACAAACCAACTGAGCTAACGCAGGCGGCACACATCTTGGAGGTAATGAATGAGGGTATCAAGTTGATGCATTGACTAAAGTTCTCACAGACACCAGATCATTTGCCGTATTGCATGCATTTCACGTCTGGTATCAGAACACCTTTAGAACCCTTCTTGTTGTGTTTATTTTGGACCTGACTCTCCGAGGGTTCAATTTTCTGTAAGCACAGGGTGCAGAGTAAACGTGTTGGCTCCTTGTTCAGCAGTGAAGTCATCCTAACTCACATCTTTAAATATGCATGTAACATATATCACAACAGCTATGGATTGTACACTGCCTATTGCTAGGTTTGCCAAACGCAGTAAAAAGCACTGTAATATAGGAACTCGTAAACTTAAATTCTTGCCACGTATCTTGTAACCTCCCACCCGCCCATTTGATAAAATATTAACAAAATATTTACACGTAAAAATTTCAAAGTCTGCTTCTTTTTTTTTTTTTTTTTTTTTTTTTTTGCTCATCCAAGGATTTAAAAAGATATATTCATATTGGTTTGTGCTTTTATACGTATGTTTCATTTCATTTTCTTTAGATAGAATCTAACCCTGAAGTTTTACAAAAGATATTTTTTCTGCATCAGAGATTGTCCTTGTACAAGATTGTTCTTCTTTTGATTATTTCAGGCATAAAGCAGTTCGTGATAGTCAAGTACTGATGTTGAAAAATGGTACTGTCTCGCAGGTAGCAGAGCAGGAAGCTGTAAAAGAAAAAAGAATAAAAAAAAGAAAGGCCCTAGTTGAATATTTAAAGAAATCCTTCCTTTTAAAACCGCTGTTGCCTGCAGATTGTTTTGGCACACTAATACAGCTGTCTCCATTCGCTTGCGTTCGTCAAAACTTGGAGTAACAAGCATTAATAAAACATCGACATTAACTCTTTAAAAAGAGAGGAAATTCTAACAGCACACAAGGTGGCCTCAGGAGTCTGGATTTCAGAGCATTTATCTCGCCATCTACAGTATGTTGCATATTTTGGATGAGCGAGACAGCTAAAGTAGTAAGCATCTGTAAAGTGGTCACCGATAAAATCTTCACATGAACAGTCTTTCTTTGTGTATCGAGGACAACATCTCCTCTCTCTTGGTCCACCGTTTCACCCGGTCTATGGAGGGGGGGGGGGGGGGTCACGATAGCTTACAGTCGATACTCATGCTTGACTGGCGATCACCCTTTCACAGTAGGCTGCCCACCAACACCATTTACATCACAACCAACACCAATACAAAATCTATTCAAATGTAGTTATCAATGACGTATAAAATGACATGACTAGGATCCTGCAGTAGTCATACCTTTTTGTTTGGATCTCTCTCTCTCTCTCTCTCTCTCTTTTTTTTTTTGATCAAAGCAACCTTTCAATTGATCTTTTGGCTTCCCAGTTGCTTCCTGCTCAGTTTCGTCGACTCCTCCATCACTCGGACCTTGTATCAGCCAGGCTTGTCTCTCAGTGCTTACTCATTGCGGTGGGTGTGGTTTTCGTGGTGGTTGTTCTCTCCCTCTGTCTCCTGGTGGCTGAAGAGGTAGCTCCACCAACTCTTGGAGTGGTGCATCTGTTTGGCTGGCCCAGGGCTTCTTACTTTTTTCATCTCCTGCATGAAATAATAACAGTGTCAAGTTTAAAATACACTTTAAAGTCACACTCAGAAAAGTCAGATTTAGTACCAAAGATAACCAGATCCTTTGCTTTGCCAAATGCACACTTACAACCACCAGCTTCAAGCTCCAAATTGTAACGTTCCTCATATTGAACTGGCGGCAATTACCTCTGAGGTCACACTCAGGATGGAAAGGTTAACTTATCAAACAGGTGGCCATGAAATTACGTTTTAACAGAGTCTCTAAAATGTGTATGACTTTGAAACATGGAGCACAGTACTGCTTGATTCTCATTGGCCAGTTACGCATAGCAACAGTCTGCTATCCCTCCAGAACAAACCTTTACTAAGAAAAGTAGATGGTTGCTAGGGATATTATTGGTTATGACAGAGAAAACAAAAATAAAATAAAGATGGGATGGAATGGGATATGCCGGTGTTAAAAGATGAGTGGAAAATAAAATGTCTGCAGGAAGCCATGCAGGGTGAGACAAAACCCCTCCGCTTGGTGTTGGGGTCTTAATGACACTTGCCCTTACACAACAGTGTTTAGGATTTCTTCCCTAGCCACAACATCAGAGGGCAATGGCTGCATTGTGAATATGGTCAATTGTCCCATATTTCCCCCTATCATGACATACATATCTTGTCACCGCTACCCCTGTTCTGCTGAGATGAGAGTCAACTTTATTGTCATTACACATATACAAGTATAGAGTAACGAAATGAGGTTTGGCATCTCACCAGAAGTGCAAATAAGCAGAAAGTGCAAGAGTCTGTGCTATGTACAGTAATTACAAAATTTACAGATGTAGACTAAAAAAAGTGAATTATTAGGTATATATTAAACAATTTTACACCACAGGTCACACCTACACATTCACACACTGATGCTAGAGGCTGCTGTGTAAAGTGATGATCAGTATTAGGTAATCCCATTTATACACATTCAAGGACCCAAGGACACATCGGACATGTGGCTGCAGGAGCTGGGTATTGAACTCCTGACTTTTCGGTTGAGAGACGACCGACTCCACCACTAATCCACAGCCACCCCTGCTACCCCCCCCCCCCCCTTTAATTCTCACCCCTTTGTCAAGCAGGATGTCAAACTCGTCGCTCATCCTCCGGAGCTGCCGGCCGTATTTTTTAGCTGCCCACAAGGCAGGGGGAGCCGATTTTGATCGTCCCCTGAATGGCGCTCCTTCCGTGGGGGTGCCAGCCTCTTCTTCCCCCCTGGCCTGGAGCTCTTCGTCCCTGGAGACGGTGTAAGCGTGGGACTCTGAGTTCAACCTGATCCGACCAGTCCCTATACACGGGGGGGGGGGGAAGCAAAGATGAGGTTTGTGTTGCTTTACAAGAGCAGGGTTAGATCAACAGAAGACATGAGGACTTACTAGTTATCAAATGAACACTGCATTAATCATGTAAAACAACACAGATAAAATACAAATAACATGAGTCTTTACTGCTTTGAATAGAGAGGAGGTTTTTCTAAATGCAAATAGATTGACTCCCTTTTAACTAAGCTATGTCATATTATCCTAACGTACATACAGTAACAGAGTAAAAACCTTCATATTCATTTATACAGAAGGAGACATGACTGAAAACAGCCAAGAAGTGACAGGTAACAGGACAGGAATTAGGAGGCACAGGCAGTAAATGAAGTGATCGAGTGGTCTTTTTTACTTGTTTGTGCCAGAATAACGTGCATGGCAGGAGCTCTTGCAGAGATGTACATTACTTCATTACCAAAATTACAACAATCATCAATAAAGAGAAAATGAGCCTAAGCTTGAATTTGAGCAGATTGTTATAATAGGCTACATAGTGCATTTGATGACTTCCTTTCAGACCATGAATGACAAAAAAATAAAAATCTGTGCTGACATTTTGGGCACGTCAACGGGAAGAAAACTAATAAGAGAAGCCGAATAACTAGAATCCCATCTGGTCTTATTTGAACGTTTGCCAAATGTACCCACTTTAAACTTTTTTGTTGTTGTTTATCAATGTTTGGTGTTTCCTACCTGCCAGTCTGAGCTCTGGTAGGGTTAAGCTGTGTCGTTGGGGAACATGCGGCTCTTCCACAGCTGATGATTGGTCGTTCTCTTCCTCTTTTACCTCCTCTTCTGACCCGGACTCACTGTCTGAAATAGTGAACTTCGCAGCCATCGTGACATCTGTGACAGACACAATTTAAAAGCAGACACAGTTAAGACCCCAACATGACCACATCAATACACAGATCCATTACAGAGCACAAAACATTCTCCATGTGTTACCAAGGTTATTAAGGCCTTTTTATGTTAGAGTTGACCTGCACTTGACCTCGTCTGGGTGAACTAGAAAAGAGACTTAAAGGCTTCATATCATGAAATACAACGACCAAAACATCTGTCATATCTTTGCACATGTGTTATAAAGGGGAGAGGGGTGAATGACCATGTAAGATAATTATTCAAGACTCATAAAATGGCATCATCCATTGTATGTGTCTCCTACCTAACACACCCAAGCAGGATATCTTATTCTCTGTGCTGTCCCTGCTGTAAGCCGGTCCAAAGGTATTCACAGTGCCGTAACCTGCGCAGATAACCGACTGCTTTTTGACAAAAACAAGTCTTATAAAATGATAACACTTGTTGTTACACTTCATTCCAACTCGGCAACACACCTTCTCCCTCCGGTCAAAACACCGACTCGTCTGTTTTTGTTGTTGTTGTTGACTGAAGAGGACAAAAGAAACTTCCTAGAGGGCGGAAGCTGCTGAGTGGCTGAATTAACAAACGAAGCTGGTAAGAAAAGGAAATTAAAAATAATAAATAAAGGTTTTTCCCTTACCCGAAATCTTTATAATGTAAGTCCGGAAAGTGCGAGTGTTCCTTTAGTTGGCCTCATGCGGCCGCAGCGGGTGTTTTTTTTGTTTGTTATCGGCGACTTGTCTTTTTTTCACTGTACAACACGGGTTCAGCTCCACGCTCATCCAATCGCAGTGCTCCGCCGCTGCGCGCTGACGTCACTGTTGCGAGCTAGGAATGGGCCGGGGCTTTGTTTGTCTCACCGGTTTACCGTAATGTACGGTGTAGTGGCGAAGCAGGATTTTAAATTTGGACAGATGCAGTGGCGGTTCTGGACCTCTTTAACTGAAGGGGGCCCAGTTGTTTTGTCAGAGGGGAACATTAAACCCAGGTGAAAAATAGACAAAAAAAATATATATATATATAAATATTATGCCAAATAATAGCGCACATCATTAAATACCACAACCTATAATACCATGATTTATATTTGTTTCAGTAATAGTATTTAATACTATTATTAGTAGTGGGGGGGGGGTTCTTCCTTTTGGAGGGGTGGCCACAGGGGGGACCAAACTCAGTGTTACAGGGGCCCCTGTTGGCCCCTGTCTAGAACCGCCCATGGACAGATGTCGCGCATGTTGAAGGCTATTCATTTAAATCTTCTTTAATGTGCAAACTTAAGAAGAACAAGTTATAGGCTAGTAGAGGCTACTTCAAGAAAGCGTCATGTTTTTAAAAGCTAATATAATTTTAAAGACAAATGTTGCACAATTAAAATGACCTTAAAACGTGACCTTAAAGGTGAACGTAAGAAAGTCCTCTTTTGACTGTTATAAACGGTCTTATCTGAATATTATTACTGATATATCGCTGAGAAACATGTTGTGTACTTCATGGTTGTTTGTTTTTAAACAATCAGCTTTTAAAATGTTATTGTGTTAATAAATGGTTAATTGACTTGGATTTGTAGGCTATAGGCTATCTGAGCCTCACCCACAGAAGTATTAGCTGTTTTATTCATTTAGCAGAGTAGATGTAAAAGTAGTGAAAAATATAAATAGTCAAGGAGTAGCCTACTATACCTCGTATGCGTAATTATAGGTTGTAAATTGACCTTAGCTTTTGATAATATCACATGGTTTTCTAAGCAGATAGACTTTAACAGCAGTCAAGCAGCTCAGCTGACAAAAAAAGAAATAAATGGCACCAATGGAAATTAAACTACCTGACTCTTGGGCTACTTACCACTTGCTGTTAGTGTCATTCATTTCAATGACTCTTATCTTCTTTCCCTTCTGAAAGGTTTAAAGATCAATCAAAAAGACAGACACAGTGAACCCATGTTACACAACAGCTATGTGAGAATTGCTTTTGGCCGATGTTGAAGCTGATAAGGAAAGGGCAGGGCTCGAAACAGTAGGTCTACAACTGTAAACACACAATGCTTTCACTCATTCGACCTGACGATGACCGTCGGGTAAATTCATTATGAACAGATTTATACAGAAAAAAGAACTGATAGAAGCGACGTAGCATTGGTAATTTTGTTGAGCTTCTTTAACTTCTCTTTACCCACTCTTCTTCTTGTTACTGTGACTGAGAAGATAAGGAGAGGAGAGAAACCCCACCCACCCGTTTGTTGTAATACTTGACATGAGCAGCAGATGGAGAGGCAGGACTAAAAACTGATCTGCTCTGATTTTTTGCTGAGTTCTTGTCCTCTTCAGTCACTGCTCCATCTCCTGACAGCTTAACTGCTTTATTGTGAAATGAATGGAAAATCAACTCTATGACTTACATACAGGCCTCTTTATTTGTAACTTTTCTATAAAAACATGTAAAGTTTAATTATGACATTACTGGGAAACCCTTAATATGAATAAATCTATGACAATAGAAAAATGATTGCTTCTTATTTTCAAGATGTTGCTAAAGTCCTTTTTTTGTTTGTATCAAATCACAACATTCAAATTCTGTTTATAGTGTCTGTATGCCACAGTCTACCCTCTCCTGACTGCCTTTCTACTTTTCCCTCTTGCACTTTCTTCACATCAAAAGGAGAGTCAACTATGTTATTATCTACCATTTATATCCAGAGCTGCCTCTACGTCTTTCCCCTCCTCTCCTCCATTCTCTTCTCTCTCATCCCTGCATTAAGAGCTTCTAGCGGGATTAGAAACAAAAACCCTTACTAATTTTTCCTAAATTAGTGTCACTAGGAGGAGGAGCTAACGGTGACAGGATTTGTTGTGTTCAGATGCAGCTTCTCCTAATTCAGTGCATCCAAACAGAAGTGGGCTTTCTAAGCCAAGACAAACACACAAAGTCTGCACACTCAGCTTTTCATACTGGTTTAGGGATGGAGCAGCTCAAGAAAATGACTGTTGAGACGCGCTTCTTTTGAACTCTATTTTTGAAAGGGATTAAAGAAATAATACATGGGAGTTCTCTTTTCTGGTGTCGTTAGAGAACCGTACAATTTTTATTCATCTTAATCTGTGTGTGTGTGTGTGTGTGTGTGTGTGTGTGTGTGTGTTTGCCTGTGTGTGTGTCTAAGAAATAGAAAAGCCATGTGTGCACAAACTTGGTAGCAGTTAGGAGCCATAAAGTACCACGCATGCACAAGGGAATAATTTTTGCACACTTACATGAACGCGCTGACTAAGAGTGTGTTTGTGTATACGTCTGCTGGATTTGAATGTATTCTGACGCAGCTATACAATTAGCATCCATTTATATCGCTCCGTACCAACCTCGCCCTGCCTCCCTGCCCCTCATCTGACAGCTATTTTGGGAAATGGAGGCGTATGCACTCCCACACAGTCTCCAAACCAACACTCAGTGAGGGTGTGTGTGTGTGTGTGTGTCTGTGTGTATGTTTGAGAGCAAAAGCAGCAACCTTTCCAAGCGGCTCCTGAAATGTTCCTTCCAATTTAATGTCAGCACAGTGCCTGTCTGCAACTGCTGCAACCTCACTCACTGTCCTTTGAAATATTTCCCCCTTTCTGCAGACCCCCCGTTTCAGTCTATGAAGGAGATGCAGTGCAGGATTTGAATTATTTGAAGTAGGAGAGCTTAAACAGAAGGGGAAACAAAATACATGATGTGGACATAAAGAAGAAAGGGTTGGTCTTCCAATTCCAAAAAAAAACAAAAAGATGAGAAACATCTAAACTACAGACTGCATGTACCAGACATTGAGAGAAGAAAGACAAGTACAAGGACGGTGAAAAACCAACAGATGAAGGATCAAAAGCAAAGCCAACAAAGATGCAAGACGAGTCTGAGAGTGAAGAGAGAGAATTGATGTAGAGCAGAAAAGGTGGCAGTAAATGTAAAACTTTAAGAAGACTGTCATAGAAAAAAAAAGAAACGTCTGGGAGACAGAAATGAGAGGACTGGCAGAGGTCTCCAGAGGGTAAGGAACATGAAAAGGCAAATTTAACCTACATCTGAGTGAACATACACCTCCTGCTCGCTCATTCATCTTGAGCCCTCGCTGCAGTCAGAACATGCTCATTATATACGGACCGCTCCCTCGCCGTATAACCAAGTCACTCTGTGATCACAAGGCTGACATATGGCAGCATTCTAATTTGATCAGCTCCACCCTTGTGAAGACTGCCTGTCTTACATCCCCGCTCTTTAGGACTAAAAAAAGGATTGCTGATTTGTTTCTCTCTCGATGCCCTCGCTCAACAAGACTGATCTGATTTAGGATTCCTGCAGACATCCTTCTCGTTCTATCACAAGTGAAAAACGAAATCTAACACTGAAAGAATATTTCACATTTGTGTGATGTGTTTTTTCTTTTTTTTTTCTTTCAGGAGTTACATGAGAAGATTTGATCTCATGTCTAAGCTTCAGTTAGCCGTGGTTAGCTGAGATTAGCATATTCAACTGGACGCAGGGAGACAAATTGACAGCCTCCGTCCAAAAGTAAATTCAATTTGAAAGCTCAGTCTATAAACTCAATATATAATGTTTGTTTCTTCGAACAGAATGTGACTTGTTACACTCAACTGCAACTAGTGTGTTCTAAACAATATGGTATATATAATATGTAATATGTTAATTACCACGCTTTAAAGCAGCAATTTGTAACTTCCCCATCTCTAAACAGTAATGTCATAGGCCAATTTAATAGTTTAACAACTCTCTGCAGAGCTCAGAGCGTGGCCCAATCACTTTGTTTACAGCAGTATGTAACTTTAGTAGCAGGCTGAGGTTATCCCTTGAGAAGTGTGTACAGCTTTACAGTACTAACCTTCAGTTTTAAAAAGCAGCCAGTTAGCCCGTCTCTGTATTGTTTGATACAAAGGCTGAGACTAAGAGGAAGAGGAAGGTGACGGATGAAGCTAAGAAGAGAAAAGAGAGTAACCGAGGAAGAAGCAGTGAACATCCCTGTAGTTATGATTTATAACAGATTACGATGCAATGTTAGGCTGTATCGTCATTGGTGTCACTGTTTAGCAGCTTTACCAGGTGCATGAAGACATCTAAGCCAAGTTATGTCTCAGGTTTGCATACAGATAAATTAATCTATTTGACGCCAAAAGTAGTCTCTGTCCTTTCTCGATCTTCGGTTAGCTCAATACTTTTGGAACCGTACAAACCTATCTCACCTAGCATAATAAATGACCCTTTCCAAGTCATTTAGCCACAGACCATTTATCATGGCAACAGTTGAATACACTGCACATACCCACATGCAAACAGATTGCAAACCAACGTCAGAAGATGCTTGCAGAGTCATATTTGCACACAATTAAAGCGGTATCTTTCTTCTTATAGGCCTACCAATTCCTCGACAAAGAAGAAAAAAAGTAAAGTTTTCACAATGTTGAAGCATATATTTGTAGAAATAGACCAAGTGAGCACTGTAACGCTTGGAATAGACGGAGGCCTTTTATGGTAAGCAAGAAAAAAGTGTGTTTTTCAAAATTATTCAAGGACTTTTTAACATTTACCTTGACTTGGCGGACAGACACACACTAACTCACACTCCTACACCGACGCCTGTCCTCTTGTTAAACCACACACACTGTCCTTCAGCCTTTCTACCCTCTAACATTATCAATTACGGTGGGGTGGTTTTCATGTGGTTGGAGTGATGTGTGGGTGCTCAGAGAGCCGGTAAATGCAGGCCTGAAACATATGTATTCCATATGTTAAGTTGAAGAGATCCACTTGTTCATGCT